TTTGGCAAAAATTGTGGTTGTGAAATAGAGAGAAGCAAAAAAAAAAAAAAAAAAAAAAAAAAAAAAAAAAAAATGAAAAAAAAAAAAAAAAAAAAAAAAAAAAAAGAAAAAAAACATCTTTCAACGTTTGCAGTTACTGATACAAATACATTAAAGTAGTTTTATATGATACACACAACATTGCCTTTATTTTTTTTATATGTTTTTTTTCTTTACTTGAACTTTTCAAGAATTAAATCTTCTCCTAACTCTTCATAATCAGCTTTAGAAATAAACCAATTGTCCAATGCAATCTTTGCACTACTTGAATTCTCATCACTTTCATTCAACATACTGGCTAAGTTGCAAGCACCCAACCAGCTTCCAAATTGCTTGTCCCAAACATCAGCGTTATCGTTGTTCAAAGTTGGTCTAATTTGTTGCACGTGGTATGAAAACGGATAGTTTGGGAAATACTTTTGCATCAATGCCCTAATGTCATTTATCACATGGTCGGACAACTCGCTAGCTAAAGATGTACCACCAGTGATCAAGACATTCGACAATAATTGTTTAAAAGTTTCCATAAATCTAGCAAATCGGTTCTGTGATTGTGAATTTGGGTCATCGTTGTTAGGCATCAATGTTCTTTCAAGACTTCTTATTGCCATAAACACCAAATTTGTTAGCCCTTGTGAGGCAGGTACATCAAGTGAAGGTTCGGGCAAGTTCAAGTTGGGCAACTTGTTCAAATGTGGATCAAACAAGTTTTCCAAAAAATTTCGTTGATCGCTGACATCTAGGAATTTGTGATCGTAAATTTCGAGATTGGATACTTGGTAGTTTAGCGATAGGTTCTTGTACTCCTGTAAGACGTGTGTTGACATGTAGTACGACTTGAATGACTCTGAGGCGGTTCTATAAGAAGCAGGTAATAACTCGTCAATAGACAGCACTTTTCCCTCCAAGTAGTTTAGGATGTGCAAGTTGATGTAGTCACCAGCATATTTGGAGTGGAATGAGCTCTTGTTTTGTATAACTCCATCCAAAATAGGTGTCACGCTGGCAACACCCGATCCAACGTCAATAACCAACCCTGTTGATTTGCCGCATCGGTACAATTGACTCAATGGGTTCTTGACAAGACTGAATAATGGCACTTCAAATTCCTCAAACACAATCTGACAGGTTTTAACTTTGGACTTCATGGTATTCCAAGACTGTTCAGTCATAACCAACGGATACTCGTTTGAATTTATCGCATTATGATTATCAATATTGTCATATACATAGCGCCAGTTGTGCGCTATGTTGTCAAAATTATATAACAATCCATCTTCAAGCAATGTCGATACTGGATTCTGACTGTATTTTTCCATCTCATCGTCTCCAATAATGACTTTGTTAGTTACACTGTCGACTATGTAATTTGAGTTGAAAACGAGTGAAGGTAGGTCGTCCAGCGCGAATCCTGCCTTGGTTGTGTAGGATCCATTGTCTATTACCACCGCTGGAGAAGTGTGTGACATTGTCAAAGCTAATATGAATGAGCTGGTTGGCGTAAATGAATTGCTTTGAGCAGGTAACTAAAGTCAATCAATGTCACTGTTGTCCAACCTCAACTGTACACAACAGAGAGACAGAGAGACAGAGATTTTTTTTTTTTTCAAAAGCTTTAAGTTGCGCTACCAGTGTGATTCTAGAAGAGACAAATTAGATTAGAATAAAGAATTATTAATCTTCTGCTTTCTCACTACAAGAGACGACGACAGACATCCAAAAGGGTACTACTATTCTTGCTCTTTCTAGTAGACACCGGCCACAGACCTACATCTTTTCCTCATAAAGAATGCTCAGAAACACCATACGTACATTCAAACAAACGAGAACGGTATCATCACGTCGGTTATTTGCCACAGCAACCACTCCAGCACCGACTTACCAAACTTCAATTTTACCAAATGGGTTGACAGTGGCAAGCGAAGCCATGCCCGGTACAAAGACAGCTACTGTGGGAGTGTGGATCAACGCTGGATCCAGAGCAGATAACCCTAAATCCAGCGGTACTGCTCATTTTTTGGAACATTTGGCTTTCAAGGGAACTAATCGCAGAACTCAGCTAAACTTGGAGTTGGAAATTGAGAATTTGGGTTCGCAAATTAATGCTTACACGTCGAGGGAAAACACTGTTTATTACACCAAGTGCCTAGCGGAGGACTTGAGTCAAAACGTTGATATTTTGAGTGACTTGTTGACTAAATCAAAATTGGAAGAAAGAGCTATTGAGAATGAAAGATATGTCATTTTGCAAGAGAGTGACGAAGTTGACAAGATGTATGACGAGGTAGTCTTTGATCATTTGCACGCTGTGGCCTTCAAGAATCAAGACTTGGGAAGAACTATTTTGGGCCCAAGAGATTTGATCAAGACGATAAGTAGACAGGACTTGAAAAACTACATCACTACTAATTACAAAGGTGATAGAATGGCTTTAATTGGGGTTGGTTGTGTTGAACATGAGGAGCTCGTCAAGTTGGGAGAAAAGTATTTCAGCAACATCCGCAAGAGCGACAAACCGTTTAAGCAAAGTGGTGACGATTTGCCCATTTTCTATGGAGAAGAAATCAGGGTTCAAGACAATGCAATGCCAACAACTCATGTCGCACTAGCTGTGGAAGGAGTAAGCTGGTCAGCTCCAGACTTCTTTGTTGCTTCCGTGGCAAATGGTATTATAGGGACATGGGACAGGTCAATAGGAGTTGGCTCAAATTCACCATCACCATTGGCCATCACTGCGGCAACGGGAGGTCCCAACAAGACACCAATTGCCAACTCTTATATGGCTTACACTACGTCCTATGCGGATACTGGGTTACTTGGTGTCTATTTCACAGCTGATAGCACTGCAAATTTGAAAGTTTTAGTTGAAGCTATCCAAAAGGAATGGGGGAGATTGTGTTTGGGACACATAACTGATGAGGAAGTGGAAAGATCCAAATCACAACTTAAAGCTTCATTATTGCTCGCTTTGGATGATTCTACGGCGATTGCTGAAGATATCGGAAGACAGGTTGTGAACACGGGATTCAGATTATCACCCGAAGAAGTGTTTTCAAGAGTTGAATCGATAAGTAAAGATGACGTTGTCAATTGGGCAAACTACAGACTAAGGAACAAGCCAGTTGCTTTGGCAGCTGTGGGTAATGTCGAAACTTTGCCAAAACTTGCAGAGATACATAAAGGAATGGATTTTAAATAGAGTAAAATTTCTGCCAGCTGTAAATAGTACATAAAATAGCTTCTTTTTCTTTCATTTTTATTTTTGTTTTTTTTTTTTTTTTGCTTCACTGTGTCATCAAATCTACGGCGTTGGAACCATTGTTATCGCCTTCTTCGTCATTTAGCTCAGCATCGACTGTACCTTCCTTTATAAGAATCAGTTCGGTTGGTTCTCTTTTCATAATCTCAGGTGGTGGGAATAGCTTACCAATAGAGTCAATCCATCTTCTTCGTTTCTCCAAAAGAGCTCTAAGGCCACTGTTGACAGCTTGTTGTTGTGGTGCATTGGCATCGATCTTTTTCTTCTTACCTTTCCCTTTAGATCTCTTCATAAACGCCAGATCAACTTGCTTATCCAAGTCCTCCAATATTGTCGAGTATTCTTGATACGCAATACTGTCTTGGGTAAGTGGGATTAGCTTCCTTTTGTTGGCTCTATTCCGACTTGTCACCTCGCGCAATTCATTTTGTAACGACCTAATCTCTGCGCAAACTTCATCATCTTCTTTATTTCGTATCCACTCATCACTATCAACTATGCTGATCGCCAGCTTTTTCGGTATCCTTCCCGATAGCTTGTTGGCCCTAGCCTTGCCATCTTCGTTACCGGGTAGATTCATAAATATTCCAATATATTTGAGTTCTCTCTTGAGTCGATCCTCAATTGACTGGTAATCGTTTGCGTCTGTTGTTATTCTGTAATCCTCATTGCTATTCAATTGCGTGGCAACTTCATCTTGGGCAAGTAAATTGTCGCGATCAGCTCCATTCTCACTCTTTACCTCGCCGCCCTCTATATCCCCCTCGTTATCATTTTCCGCTTCGTGGTTGCTTAATATTGCCGAGAGCAATCTGCTAGATAATGGGCCGCAGGAGACCTCCTCAGTATAAAGCTTGTCGTCACTCAATGAAGTTATTGATCCTTTTGCTTTATACCCATCAGTTTGGTTGGCATATACCGTTGGTGAGTTGAGTTTGGATGCCAAAGTGGCATCTTCTTCAGCCCACACATCTGCATAAAACCTACCCAATCTTGGAATAATGAATGGCGATACATCAGAGTCGTAGTTAGTTTTCTCAAAACCGGGGGGTATTATGTTTTTCTCCTCGAGGAATTTCAAATCTTCATTAGTGAATGGACGAAAGTACGACTCGATGTAAGATTGAAATGTACTAAATTGAACCTGATTGGTTGGTGGCTTGTTTTTGGAAAAATCTATATCGGGTATGTTTCCCGGTAGTAAATCTTGCAAATCGTTTTCAGGGTACGATGCAACGGCATATTTTTTCTTCAAGTAGTCCTTACCATGCGTCTCCAAACCGTGATTACCCTCTGAATATAGACCGAGTGCAGATATTGCCTCCGAAGATAGCACCTGTGGCTCCACGTACTCCGATTTGGGATTCTTGAGTCTCGTATCATTATCATGAGAGAAAGATCCCGATTGAACTGGCGGTACTGGGTCATCCTTCAGGTTTATTCTTTCTCTAGGTTCCGTAGCATCTTCTGCTGCTTCTGCTGCTTCATTGTCTGTGGGATCTAGTTTTCTTTTCTTGGTTTCCTCTTGGCTGTCCTCTAAATGTGCACCTGATCGTTTCTTCTTTTCATCTCCTGAGCCCTCCTGACTTTCCTCAATCTTTTGTAATACTTGTTCATCGTTTTGCTCTATTTGAATTAATTGTTTTTTCAAGTTCCCAAACAACTTGTTCAAGTTGGCTAATATGTTTACATTGGGAATAGTACGGATGGAGTCACCATCTAACAAACCATTGGATGAGTCGTATGTTAATTTCAATTCATTAATTATATCATCTAGTGTCGTAGATGCGTCATGTGTGTCCTTCATGGTCGTGAGCTGTCTGTGTAGAATCGTATTTGCATCTGACTTAAGCCGTGATCACTATGTTGATCGGTTGTTGTATCGGGTTTTTTTTTTTTTCTGTTTTTTTTTTTTTTTTTTTGTTTTTTTTTTTTTTTTTTTTTTTTTTTTTTTTTTTNGTTTTTTTTATTTTTTTTTTATTGTTTTTTTTTTTTTTTTTGTTTTTTTTTTTTTTTTTTTTCGCTTCGTTTTGAAATTTCGGATTTGCGTTGATTACGGTTCACGATCTATTTACATTACACACGCTTTATGGTGTAATCTTGTTGAGATGGTCAGCGTCCAATCTGTTTTTGCTCATCTCTACAAGTTCATCAATTATTCTATGTCTCTTTGTTGGGGCATCTTGTGGCCTCTTCCACTCTTCAGGGAACACTGCTTTTGGTTTTGTGGTCCACGTCTTCATATGACGTTTATCTAATGGAATGTCAGCAAAAGTTTCCTTACTAAGGTCTTTGGACTCAACCAATAGTCTATTGAAAGTGTCAACTAACCAACTAACATTTTGGGCTGCTTGAGGGTACCTTTCACATTTTAATTGGAAGGAGTCGGAGCCATGGTGGAATCTGCGCCCAGCAAGCACCTTAAACTTGTGCTCTTGCTCTTTCGTAAGCTCCAAGTCCTTCAACTCAACATACAAAGTAACTTTCCTGTTGTGCTTGTTAGATATGTCCTCACTAAAATCAGAATTGTAAATCAACTTGAGTGGAGCTTGGGTCCTTGGTCTTGGTGTGTAAGGTTGACGGTATTTGGACAACAAGGGCATCTCAAAAGCCGAAACCCTATGCAAGTTTTCTATACGTCTCTCGTGATGTGGTGCTGCTCCCGTGTTTATCACAAACGTGTTGCTCAACTTCTGAGGCTTACCTCTGTCCTTCATGGGGGTATTGTTCATAACTCTTTCTTTAAAGTTTTCAATCTCAAAAGCGTAATCCAATGCTGGTTTATTAGCTGTTAAAGATGTAATTGTGGACAAGATGGCGGTTCTTTCTTCATTCGTTGGATTGTAAGCATCACCTAGATACTTTTTTCTAATTTGATGTAACTGGAATATTTGGTCGGCTGGTAACCCTTGCCAAGCATGTGGGTTGAGAAATAGTTCTGGTTTGTTTACCGATGAGGAGGATGAGTAATATCTTATCCCACGGAGGATACTGGAACTGTTAATTTGTTTCATTGAAGAGAGTGACGGGACGGGACCTCGGTGTGAAGTGAATGTGGCCAACAAAATTTTCAGACTTTTTTTTCGTATCCAAATTTTCCTTTTCTTATTTTTTTTTTTTACTTATTTTTCATTCATCTATTTGATTCGTTTTTTTTTTTTAAACTACTCAATACACTACATTCAATCTCTTTCAGTTTTCACCCTCTTTGAACTATCGTCTCTATCATGATTGGTTCTTTTAGACAGTTGGTGGTCGTCCTCAGTCTTGATTTCGGGTTCTTTCACGTTTTCTGAATGCTCTTGTTTGATGTTACGTGCATCTTTTTGGTCTGCAGAAATTGTGTCCTCGTTCTTCATCACTGGCTCCTTCTTTGGCTTGAAAAAATCTGACACCGATCGTGCCTTTACATTAGCAACTTTTCTGAGTATACTTTCACTCTTGTTACTGGGATTTCCGACATCATTAGATACCCTGTATCCTTCGATACCCGCATACGCTTCGTTTGTGTTTGAGTTCAAGACCTCTGGAATCAATGAATCATCCCAGTCCCTGTTTGGGTCTAGCCACGAAAACCACTCTTTCGATCCAGGTTCGATAACCAATGTTTTTCTTGAATGCAACCAAGATAGGTCATACTTGTCCGACTTTTCTGCGGGAGCTGTGATTACAGTAAACGACGACAAGTACTCACCATTTACATTAAAGTTGTCCTTGTAGTTGTAGTTGTGGGAGTAAAAACCAGCTAAAAATATCAATGGAGCTGTTTTGGAGTGAATAAAATAGGGAATCTTTTCATTCTTTGTCTTGAGCCACTCGAAATACCCTTGGATAGGTATGACACATCTGTGTTTTTTGCAAGATGACCAAACAGCACGGTGTTCAGCAAGGGATTCTCTCCTACAATTGAAATATTTGCTCTCATGCTTACCCAATTCACGAGAGTACTTCTCTCCTTCATTCTGCTTCCCTTTGTTGACTGGTGTAGGGTCACAAGGCTTTGCCCAGGTTGGTACCAACCCAAACTTCAGGGGCTCTACAATATAGCTTTGAGCGATGTCTGAAGATGGCTCAGCCATGTAGACCATTAGGGCCGTATTGGTTGGTGCTATGTTGCATGAAGGTGTCCATTGCGAAGCCCGTGATAAATCTAACTGGATCTTTTCTGTTCTGTCACCCTCTCCACCTGCTTCAGTTTCGTAAACCCCCTCAGTTGGTTCATTGATTTCATTGTTCTCCTCGTCAAGGACTGTCTCAAAAAATTCATCGGGAATACCGTCCAAACTCTACTACTGTTAGTCAATTTGATCCATATGACTCTCAAGAGAGTTGACATACGATACCCTGAGCAAATCTGCCACACATTGGTCGTCACTCGTAGTGGATTGTGCAAAAGAGTGAGAAGCGAGAGTTGTGGCTACTTTGCAAGAAATTAATTTTTGTCATCTATTGTAAAACTACGGAGAGGAGCCTGGGTTGTCGCTAAAATAATCTGGCTGCGATTCCCTATCCAAAAACTCGTCATACGACTTGCCAAAGTTGTTGTTACAATCTTGGTCGTCCAGATCAATGCTTACTTCATCGCAGTCCGTTTCAGAGTCCCTTGGAGAAATCTCAGTGAAAATTGCACTTGATTGTTCCTCCCCATTTTGTGCCGCCTTCCTCTTACGTTTGGCCCTTTCCTTAACATACTGCTTATACGAATTGTAATCGTCAACAGCAGCTTGTTCTTGTTTGTAAATCTCGTCGCTAATTTCGGGGTCCCTGGCGGTGCCCAAATGCGTGTCTTCTACAAAAGTGACTCGATCCATACCTTCTGGGAAATATGACTGCTTGACAACACCATTTTCGTAATTAGGATTGTATTTGTATGCGTCACCGAAACCCATGTCTTTCATCAACCGAGTCGGTGCATTTCTTAGATGAATGGGTACGGGCAACCGAAGTACATCTGGTCTTTCACTGATCAACTTTTGAGCCGACCTCAAAGCACGATACGATTTCGTAGACTTGGGAGCACGAGCTAATTTCGTGGCACAATGGGCCAAAATAATCTCTCCCTCAGGCATACCCACAAATTCAAAAGCTTGCTTAGCAGAGACAATAAATGGAAGACATGAACTGTCTCGTAATCCAATATCTTCGCTAGCTATTACCATCATCCTTCGGAGAATAAATAAAGGGTCTTCACCACCAGACAACATTTTCACCAAATAAAATATTGCTGCGTCAGCATCAGACCCTCGTACAGATTTATGAAAAGCACTGATTATGTCATAATGTGCATCACCGTCCTTGTCATACATTTGGTGAAAATTTCGAGATTTTAAGATTTCTTTGAGCATCTCAACCGTCACATTAACAGCTGCTCCATCACTCAGCTTTTCTTCAAGCCTGTCAGCTGAAAGGTAAGCATTTACTGTTTCGAGGACATTCAAAGCGGCGCGTGAATCTCCCATGCATAAACCGGCAATATATTCAAATGCATCCTTCTCTAAAGTCAAGTAGGGCAAGTGGTATAACAACTTACGAGCTCGGTTGACTTCCAATAGTGCTCGGTTCAAAATTCGAACAATATCTTCGCTGGTAAATGCTTCCATTACAAAAGTTTGCATTCTTGACAATAATGCATTGTTTAATGAAAAGGATGGATTTTCGGTTGTAGCTCCAATAACAGTACAAACCCCCTTTTCCACCACTGGAAGAAGTAGATCTTGTACTGCTTTATTGTACCGATGAATCTCATCAATGAAAAGAATAGTGCGCTGCTGCGTAAGCTTTCGAAGATTTTCAGCTTGCTCGAAAACATGCTTTAAATCTTTTGCTCCACTGCTGGCCCCCGAAAGCTCAACGAATTTGCAACTTGTAGACTTTGCCACAATGCGGCCGAGCGTAGTTTTGCCACATCCTGGTGGTCCCCATAGTATAAATGATGGAATTAGGTCGGACTTGATGATATTTCTCAACGGAGCATTCTTCCCTAGCAACTTTTCCTGACCGATGAAATCGGTTAATGATTTTGGTCTTAGGCGATGTGCAAGTGGAATTCCGACCTGTTGTTTGAGGTCAGCTATCTCTTTTGCTGTATCTGGTAATGACGGGTCTCGAGGTTCGTGGGATGTGGGCTCCTCTTTAACCTCTGGCATTTCAGCAAATTGTTCCTTCGGTGGAGTTCTCAAACTCGATGGCAGTAGTGTGGCATTGCCCTGCTCGTGTGGTTGTTTCTTCTTCTTCGATGTCAGTGCCCTTGACAATCCAAGGGCGCTAAATGCATCGCGTTTCCTTGATTCGGTAACATTTGTTTCATTTTCGGCGGTTCCGGGTTTAACTTCCTGGACATCGAGGCAGCTATTGACATGCTGTTCTAGGAGTAGCTTTGGTATCCGTTTGGAGCATATGGGGCACAATGGTTCCATGGTTGGTTGGTTGGTTGGTTGGTTGGTTGTGTGTTAAGTGTTGCAGACGCTTTCAAAAGGACGCGTTATTCAACCAAAATAAGAACAAAAAAAAAAAATACTCTCTTTATTACACCCCACTCACTAAATCAAATGAGCACTGAGATCGAGATACAAGAGCCACAAACTCATCACTTGAAAAGAAAGAAGGGCCCATCCCACTACTCCGCATCTAAAAGACATAGAGTGGGGACAATCAAGACGGAAGTCGAGGACATCGAAGAATCGAGTGAAGACATTGCCAAACAATACAAGAAGTACTCAAATGCACCAAAGTATGACCTCAATAGTGAGGAACTATACTGTGTGTGTCGAGAGCCAGATGAAGGGGAGTTGATGGTGGCGTGCGATGGGTGCGAAGAGTGGTTTCATGCTAGGTGCATGAACATCAGACCCGAGCTTTCGAACTTGATTAGCAAGTTCTATTGCAAATTTTGCACTTGGAAGGGTAATGGAGTCACATTGTGGAAACGGAAATGTCGTCTCGATGAATGTTATGAACCAATCAAGGATCATTCCAAGTATTGCAGTGAGGAGCATGGCAAGGAGTATATGAGACGATTACTTTTTGAAAATTGTTCCCTCGACCAGGGCGTTGTTAAGAAAGTGTTGACACATGTGGGTGGCGAAGTAGTGAAACTACATGTGTTGGGACTGGAGTTTCCAGAGCTTTCAGAGGTTGAGACATATCGACAAGATGGGAAGATTGGCCAGTTTCCTCAATCTGTGCGAGATCAGATTGAGTTGTTGCGAAGGAGAATTGAGGATATCAAAAGGAGGAAGCAGATTCAAATACGAGAACAAGAACTACTTTTACAGGTGAAGGAAAATGTGAAAACTATCAATGAGAAGTTGTCGTCACTAATATATCCTTCTACAGAAGAGGATAGTAAGCCTAAATCCAAAAAGAGTAAACAAAAGAAACGTATAGATCTTTGTCTATGTGACAGGGGCGAGCATGTTTTAATTGAAGAAATTGCCAGTGATGAAAAGTCGTTGGAAGAAGTAGCGACCAAAGTCAAAAAGAGACTTGATAGTGATGAAGAAGATAATGATGGCGATGACGAGGATGAGGATCCAGATTGGTTTCGAAGTTGCATTTGCATCCGAGACAGGAAGAAATGTTACCGGCACAATGGTTGGTGGAATTTGTCATACGATGATACAGAGAAACTTTTAGACCAACTCAGATCGAAAGAGGTGGCGATAGAGACACAAATCGATGTAGTTTTGCGGGACTATTCAATTCAAAAGTATAACGAAAAGTAAGATTCAATTGTTCTATATAGAATACAAACACCTCACAACACGGAGAATCACTTCTTTTTTCCATTTATAGTTGCAACGATTCTTCTTGAATGTTTGTAGGTCCTGAACTCGCATAGCCAGACGCCTTGCCAAGTACCTGTGTTTAATTTACCATTGGTGATAGGAATAGATAAACTTACACCAACGGTGGAACTTTTAATATGACCAGGCATGTCATCGGCACCTTCATCGGCATGGATGTAATGGTTTCCCTCTGGTGCAATCCTATCCAATGCTGTATTCATGTCTGTTCTAACATCCGGATCGCAGTTCTCATTCAATGTGAGACCGGCAGATGTGTGCTGTAAAAATAGATTCAAAATTCCTACTTCGTAATCGCGGATCTGAGGCACTTTTTGGTAAACTTCGTCGGTGACCAAGTAGCACCCTTTAGAGCGGGGTGATAAGCTAAATGTTGTTTGATCCCAGCTGGACATAATTGAGTTCAATTGTCGTTGAAGTAGATGAATGAGTTGCAAGTATTTGCCACTGGAAACCTTCCACGACAATTGCAATTTTTCATCATCTTTGCTCTCCAATTTTGTGCAACAAAATGGACTGCAGGAGTTTGCAAGAGTCTGATCGGGATTACTGTGAAAACAATCTGTACCCTTTCAAAAACTCTATTACTATGACTTGAGCGGAATTCAACTGCGACTATAGACTGGACGATAAATGTTATTAAGTTCTAGTCTTGGTTGAAATTTTTGTTCAATTGGTAATATTTCTGCTTAATTTGAAGCAAACTTAGTTTGAAAAATTATGAAACTTTGTAAATGAAAAAAAAAAAAAAAATTGACTAGAACATATGAGTAGTCCAAGCGTGTCCTCAGACCACAGATGGTCTCCCATATGTTAGCTGCAACCTTTGGAAAAATCTGCTTCTAAATATCGCCCTCGTGAAAGCTTTGTATGGCTGCTGCAAACATTCTCAGTTTTTGTGTTCGAAAGCTCTTTGAAAATTTAAGAGATGAGATCTCAATAATTTTTTCCCTTTTTTTTCACCAAAGTCATTATTCTTACACCACTAGTCTCCAGTTATCACAAAATGCAAGTGGCGGTACATCAAGACGACGCTGATATCTTGCTCAAGCAAAAGAACATTCTTAATGAAGATGTTGTGGAAAAGTATAGAGTCGCGGGTCAAATCACTCAAACAGGATTGACATACCTTACATCCTTGATCAATAACTCCTACCATTTGGGAACCACGGCTAAGTTGACGATTCAGCAACTATGCCTCTTAACTGACTCATTTTTGGCTGAATTGTTATCAAAACACTACAATAAAAAGGTTGATGAGAAGGGTATATCATCTCCCACTACGATCAATGTTAATGAATTATTGATTGGATTTGCACCTGAAATCGATGACGAGAGAGGCTTGTATTTGAACGAGGGTGACGTTGTAACAGTAAGTTTGGGAGTTCAAATCGATGGTTATACATCCAACTTGACCCACACGTTGGTCATATACCCAACAAATGCCGAATTGAAACCAAATGGACCATTGTTGGGCAATAACGCCGATGCCATTTGTGCCACGCATATTGCCACCGAAGCTGTTGTTGCTTTGCTCGGGGCCTCTTTGTCACCAGAAAAGATTCCAAATCAGCTCAAAAACAACTCAAATGCAATCACTGGTACCCAGATCCGCCAACTTGTCGATGCAGTCGCCGCGTGCTTCAATTGTGTTGTTGTTCCAGGATCAAAAGTTAGACGAATCAGGAGGTTCTTAGCTGGACAAGCAGAAGGAATTGTTGCTGAGCGTGATTTCAAAGGTGTGGTTTGGGATGAGTCGCATCAAGAAGCTAGTCTCTTGAAACAAAGTGCACCTCATTCTACTGAATTGATAGCCACCAGCGAGGCTAAACCAGTTTCCACTTCCACTTCTAGTGCTATACCTACCGATGAGTTTGTTGTTGTTCCTGGCGAGGTTTACCACGTGGATATACGTATGTGTGGAGTAAACTCTGAGGAATTGGGAATAGTTACAACAGAAGAGATTGATCACTTTACAGGAAAGAATAATAAGCAGGAATTCACCTCCAAAGCGTCAATATTCATTCGTGATTTTGCCGTTGTCCATCAGTTGAAGTTGAAGACGTCAAGGAAGCTTTTGGGTCAGATTGACAAATCATTTTCTGTATTCCCCTTCAAACTTGATTTTGCCAGCAAGGCTTATCCAATCAAAGTTGATGCAACTGAAGAGGCAATAAGGATTCAAATAGATCAATTGAGAGAAGATTTGAAAAATTTCAGATTAGGTGCTGCCGAGTTGAGCAACCGTCATCTTATACAAAGTAAACCTATACAAATCACCAAGTTTGTTCCTTTGAAGGAGATCTTGTTAACTGCTAATCCAACGGGTAAACACGGTATCGATGCTGCCAAGCCTGTCTTACCCGGTATGGAGATTCCATTGCCACAATTGAACATATCGTCAATCAAATTGAAATCGTTATTGAAAAAAGGTCACAACATAGCCAATGTGAGAGAAGCTACAACGGTATTGATAAATGACCAATCACAAGAGGTTTTGAGGTTGAACGGAGGAGAGACAACAGCAAGAGTTAATTGGATACATTCGCAATACAGGCTATCCAATGAGTTGAATGAGGTGATTACTCACTTGGTTCAATTGACAAAGGACAAGCGTTTTGGTATCAAATTGAAGGAGGTTGGTCCCCACAAAATGACACAGCAAAGTTTAGGAGTAGAATCTATGCAAATGGATTAATAGAAATAGAAAGATTGTTGTTAGTGGAGTTTTGAAGGTGTACATCCTCGCATGTTGTAAGGGGTTTTTAGTTCTACCGACGTAGCGCTCACTCCGCACTCGCGTGAATGGGCGGATCTCTCGGGCGACAACCGCACCGGATAATGTCACAAGAGCAAAGAATAAAAAATAATTTTAGAGGCGCTACAACGGCAACGAAGAGAAAAATAAAAGATTGTCGTGCATAAGTGTACAAATAAAATTGACTGAGTGAGTGTCTAAGAATTTAATAAACAAACTTTCCAAACAAATTTCGTCCCATTTTTCCCTCATTCTAATTTGCTTTCCCATAATCTAAACAACGCACAAGTTATATCCATCACTGAAAGGTATGTGTAATTTACTAGATTTTTTTTCAGTAGCCAAGTCAAGTCAAGTCAATGAATGAATGAATGACACAGAGGGATATGATGCATTGTGTGCGCTAGTGTGATAGTCGTTGATCAATTCACATGTGTTTTATGATCACACCCCTATTCGACGACAACAGACAAAAGCAAGCGTTGATAGTTTGAAAGAGAGACAAGGTGAGAAGGAAATCATGCAATCAATCACACATGTGACCACTACATTTGATCAATTACAAGATACCGGTCTGATTCCACTTTCATATTGGAGTCCAAAAGGTATACCCACCTACAGCCCATTGATTTGTGTTTATGGTTTGTGTTGTCAACTTTTTTGCCATTTTCTTGAGTACACTTTTTATGACACAAGACACGACTTTCACACACACGCACAAAATTTTTTCTCTTCAGATTGTCGACGTCTCAGGCAAAAACGATTCGGAGAGAGAGAGAGAGAGAAAAAAAATCAACAACAATCCGCAAGTGACATATATAAAACACACCACCGAAGTTACCCACATCACAATCTACACCATAGATCTTCATTGAGTTAACAATCCATCTCAGAAACATACTCGAAAAACCCATTGAATACAGATTCTACGACTTGTATGTTGTGCGCGCAAATACTACATGAGTGAATTTTGGAATGTTGGTTCTTTGCATTTTGGCACGAACCCACACACACACACACACACTCTCTCTCTCTCCAAAGAAATTCAAACATTCTACGTTGCACTTGACTTTGACTCCTGCTCAACATTTTACTAACTTTGTTTGTCTAGTTTATATATTATCACCGTACACACACACGCACACGCACAACCAAATACCCAAAGCTAGAAACTCCATAACACTCTCAGAATGACTGTCTCACGCGAAGATTCCGTTTACCTTGCCAAATTGGCCGAACAAGCTGAAAGATACGAAGAAATGGTTGAGAATATGAAAGCTGTTGCTTCTTCTGGCCAAGAATTGTCTGTTGAAGAACGTAATTTGTTATCTGTTGCCTACAAGAATGTTATTGGAGCACGTCGTGCCTCATGGAGAATTGTTTCTTCAATTGAACAAAAAGAGGAATCCAAAGGTAACGAAAATCAAGTTGCTTTGATTAGAGATTACCGTGCCAAGATTGAAGCTGAATTATCCAAGATATGTGAAGATATTCTTTCTGTTTTGGACAATCATTTGATTTCATCAGCTCAAACAGGAGAATCCAAGGTATTTTACTACAAGATGAAGGGTGATTACCACAGATATTTGGCTGAATTTGCTGTTGCTGATAAGCGTAAGGAAGCTGCTGACTTGTCATTGGAAGCTTATAAGGCTGCCTCTGATGTTGCTGTCACTGAATTGCCACCAACACACCCAATCAGATTAGGTTTGGCTTTGAACTTTTCTGTTTTCTACTATGAAATTTTGAACTCCCCTGACAGAGCTTGTCACTTGGCTAAGCAAGCTTTTGATGACGCTGTTGCCGATTTGGAAACATTGTCTGAAGATTCATACAAGGATTCCACTTTGATTATGCAATTGTTGAGAGATAACTTAACCTTGTGGACCGATTTGTCGGAAGTCCCACAAACTGAAGAACAACAACAACAACAACAACAGCAACAACAGTCGAGCCAACAAGCTCCAGCTTCTTCAGAGGCTAAGCCTGATCAGGAATAGAGTTAATGTAAATCTTATAGTTATTGTATCGTATCTGTGTGAAATAAATTTGAACTAAGCTAAAAGAGAGGAGAAGGCATATAATGAAGATGCAAAGTAGTAGTACTGCAGAGTAAGGAGCAAGTTGTGAGATGAGCACCTCTCAGATAGACGTTGCTTATAGAATGCAAGGTGTCTTTATTATTGTTCTTACTGTTTGAAAAGAAAAAAATAATAATAAAAAAAAAAAACTGACGCGCCAAAGATTTGATCATATATACACGACCACAATTTCTATTTGTTATGATTGAGAATGTGATTGAGAAAGAGAGAGAGAGAGAAAGAGAGAGAGAGAGAGACCAGATCAACTCAATAAAAAAAAAAAACAACAAATACTCGTGTCTAATTTAGTTGTTGTCAAAGAAAAGGGTCTACAGAAGTGAATAGTACACCTGGTTTTACAATACATCACAATATGCCAGAGCCAGTAGGAGTAGCAAATTTGCCTAACCAAAGGTACGTACTGACATTAACTACTTGAATGGGGATATCTATGAAGGAAGATTCACTTTTCTTTTTGTATTGTTCGTTTGCTTTTACAACCAAAGCACACACATGAAATACGTGAAAAAAAAGCCTACACACGCCTCAACCCAATTGCATTGAAACAATACTAACTTCAGTCTCTAGGTACAAGATTGTATCCAAAGAGGGGGCAACCTTCACCATTATGGTTGCTGGAGAAAGTGGATTGGGAAAAACAACCTTTATAAACACCTTATTCCAAACTTCCTTGAAACAACATCAAGATCCTCGCAACAGGCACAATAAGTTTACATCATCTCACCAGACTGTGGAAATTGATATAGTTCGAGCCATTTTGGAGGAAAAGAATTTCAAAATCAGATTGAATGTGATTGATACACCAGGTTTTGGTACTAATGTGGATAACAACGATTCTTGGGTCCCCATTATCGATTTCATTGACGATCAACACGAGTCCTTTATGAAACAAGAACAACAGCCTTCAAGGCTCTCCAAGAAGGATTTGAGAGTACACGCTTGTCTTTATTTTATTAGACCAACGGGCCATCTGTTGAAACCTTTGGACATCGAAGTTATGAAGCGATTATCAACTAGAGTTAACTTGATCCCCGTGATTGCCAAAGCAGATACATTGTCGCCTCAGGAAATGGACAACTTTAAGAATAGAATAAGAGAAATCATTGAGGCTCAAGATATAAATATTTACACACCACCTTTGGAATTGGATGACCCTGCTAGTGCAGAACATGCTAAGCAGTTGATTGAAGCAATGCCATTCTCCATCATTGGCTCTGAAGAGGATGTTGAAGTTGCTCCTGGTCAGTTCGCTAGAGGTAGAAAGTACCCATGGGGAGTAGTTGAGATTGAAAATGACCAGCATTGCGATTTCAAAAAATTGAGGAGTTTGTTGTTGAGAACAAACATGTTGGATTTGATTTTGTCGACAAATGAATTACACTATGAAACATTCCGTTCGATTAAATTGGGTAGTGATGAGGGAGAAGAAGGAAGGTTGAATGGTGGTGGCGAAGATGGATCAACTGAAGAGATGGTCAATGAAAAGGGTGAAGTTGTCAAGAAGCCTTCTACTAAGAAACCGAGAAGAGTGTATAACCCAAAGTTTAAAGAAGAAGAAGATGCCTTGAAGAAATTCTTCACTGAACAGGTCAAAGCAGAGGAGCAAAGATTTAGGCAATGGGAAACCAATATAATCAATGAACGAAACAGATTGAATCAAGATTTAGAAGAGTTGCAATCGAAATTAAAGAGTTTGGAGGAGCAAGTTAAGAAATTGCAAATTTCCAAACGTTAGGACAGAGGTTGTAAGATGAGACTCGTCCTCTTTTCTTTTTTGATATCTAGCTTAGTTCGTAAGTAAGTAAGTAAGTAAGTAAGTAAGTGAGTGAGTTTGAAGCTTTTGTTTATTTCTGAGGTTATGTTTGATCACACATGGCATTTGTACAAGAATACGTTGGTGGTGCCTCTTGAGGGGAAGGAGAGGATTTTTCGCGGTGACGGTTATAGGTGGAAGTATGTAGGAAATTGAACACAAAAATTTTCTTCTCTTTTGGGAATACCCAAAGTCCTAGTGTTCGAACAAGTATATCACCATCACAGGAAAAGCTGTCTCCGTAAGTGGTCTACATCAAGCTATTCGGCATTAGAAGCTCAACAGATATGCACAACAATGACAACACAATGAGATACGTAGCCGACTCTAACCACGGCACGAATCTAACCTACAGTATGCAAACTCCGCTAACGCAACACGATTCACATAATTCATCACCGCCGGAGCACAAGTATAAGAGAAATTATCGCGCGTGTCTCAATTGTCGCATGCGGAAAGTCAAATGTGACTTGGGACCCGTTGATAATCCTCACGAGGGGAAGTGTGCTCGTTGTTTACGAGAGCGCAAAGATTGTGTATTTGTTGAGAGTAAGCGTGGTGGAGCTAACAATGTATTGAATGGGAGACGCAAAAGGCAGAAGCAGAGTCACACTGTGGAGTATGAGAGGAGCCAGTCTCCTCAATCTCTTTCAACCAATAGTCACATAAATCAAGGATCTGAGTATCATGGGACAAATGATTCTTCAAATCATTACAGCTCTTCACCACAAGCACTACCTGGAATTAACAGTATTCTTAGTGAAAACGATGGGAAAAGTGGCTTACGTCCTCACAACCCGATTCCATATGAGTCAATGCAGAGTACATCGACCTCAACAGATATCAAAAGCGACAATATTGCAGACAAAACCGGACGAAATAACCACTTTGCTACAATGGAAGGGGCTTTGGTGTTTTTGGCCAGTGCCGCGGGAACCATTGCCAAGGCTGATGAGAGAGACAATATTGATGCAAGAGCCAAGTACGATCAGATTGAAGCCATGACAGGGAATAACACTCATAAACACAGTGTTGATGAGAGCAACAGCACGCCACCAGTGGACCAAGTGGATACACCTGCTCAAAATCATACTGCTGCTGCAAGCCATCGCTCTAGCGTTGATGGTGGAGCACAAGTGTCACACCCTATAAGCCGCAATGATTCCATAACAAGCCAGCAGCATAATGAACATGGATTTCTTACAAGCTCAAGTCGACACAATTCAACCGATAACACAGCTCAGATATACCCATATATGAACCCCACGAGAAACAAACGAATGACTGTGCCAGCTGCTGAAAGTGGATACGCAGTACGTCCAAAAGCATCGAAAAAGCTTTCGAGCATCGAGTACATTGGACCTTCCCCGCATGGCATACTTACCGAAGAGGAAGCGGAACGATTAATTAACTTGTTTTTTTCCACTATGCACCCATATTTCCCTCATATCCCTAAATTTCTTCACTCACTGAAGGTATTGTCAGGATATCCTATACTACTTTGTGCCATATTGACTATATCGTCGCGGTATCACCCATTTGAAAACAATGCTAGCAGTTTGCCAAATGGGAGCGTACCGAGAAATATTGAAGTTCATGATCGATTATGGCTTTATGTCCAGCGATTGATTTCGCAAACCGTGTGGGCCGAGGCTAGTACGAGATCAATTGGCACGATATTTGCATTTTTGCTCTTTACTGAGTGGAATCCACGGGCTATTCACTGGAGATGGTCCGATTATGCTAATAAGGCAGAAGAAGGAGCAAATGACAACGAGACAGGTGTGGGTATTGGTGGAGGATTGAACCCACAAGGGAGTAGTGCTGGTATCATGAGTTCAGCGACTGCTTCGTTAAGTGGTAGAAGCGGCAGCAATGGCGATGGTATGGACGGCAGTGGATCTGCAGGTGGCGGTCTGAATCTTGCAGGATTGGGTGCAATGAGAAGGAGTCATCGTATGGCGTGGATGTTGATTGGAAGTGCTGTGCGATTAGCTCAAGATATGGGGTTTATGGAAATGAGCTCAAAGACACTAATTGCAACGCATATAGCTGAGATCAATTCAGTTATGGATATATCGCGTCGATCCATGCTTGCTCATTCGTTATCGGAGATTGATTTAGAAGAAGATGAAGTGAGTGAAGAAGATGTGGAGTATGGCGAAGATGTCGATGACGATTTCAACATTATGAAAATGAGTGAAGAAGAACTCAAGCGAGCTGCTAGTGAACACATATTCAAGTTTACCAAGGCACAAAAGGCCCAGATTGAATTGTTACAGATTATGTCGTTGGGCCATGAGTCATTTTATGGGTACAAGGCGCAATTGGGTCAGTTGTCGCAGCGGCAGAATTTGGCGGTGTTGAATATCATCAGCCCCTTGATTAACAATTGGAGTCGGAAATATCGGCAGTTTCTTGTCCCCACCAGTGGTAAATTGGCTAAACATGTGTCTAGTTTCCAACACCAATGGACAAAGCCCAAGTCGAGAACATGTCAAGAAATCAGTGAGTCCATCCGACAAGAATCTTTTATATTTGAGTTCAATTATGTGAAACTTTATATATACTCATTGGCATTGAGTCCATCACCGAGAACCATGATGGGGAAGAAGAATAATCGAGTCTCGCTCAAATTGGATGAGTTGTCGAAATCAGCTCGATTCATTGAACAAGCATTCAATGCAGCGAATGAGATGTTAAATGCTGCACATAGGATTCACAAGTTTAAGATGTTGCGATTCATGCCTGTGCGTTGGTTGACGAGATTAGTGCGTGCCGTGGCATTCATTGTCAAATGCTACTTGACAATAACCGCTCAAAAGAGTAATGGCAGTGGCTCTGCAGCTTCGGCGTTTGCATCAACGAGAGAAACCTACGACCCGACGGTGTTGTCTTTTAGTTTGATTAGTATTGATGACATTTCTTCCCTGATTCATCGTGCCGCGTTGACGTTGAGAGATTGTTCGCCAGATGAATTGCATTTGTGCACGAGGTACTCCAATATTTTGATGTATTTGTATTCTGAAATGAAGAATAAGAAGAATGAGCAGGAGGGAGAAGACAGGGACATGGATGTGGGTGTGGGTGTGGGTGTGGCTAGTGGCTGTCATATTCCACACGTAGAACGAGTTGCCGCTGATGGAGATCAGCAGCATTCCTACGGACATAATGCACCGGGAGCTCAACCTATTTCCACAGAACAGTCACTGTGTTCGCATGGTGGGCCTTTGAACAATGCAAATGAGCAACTCACTCCACAAGCATATGAAAAGCTGGACGCATTCCCATACGGTCCATACTTTAAACAACCAACCAATGTACCCACGTCGGCACCCATAGCCATTGGAGTTACAGGAAAGCCAATCAGCCCAATGCCACTCAACTCGCCATCGACATCGACGTCAGTTTCAGTGCCAGCACAGGCAGTATCAGCAGCAGCAGCAGAGGGAGCCATGCCTCCACCACCAACCCAACAACATGACAAAAAAGAATTCCTTAACTCATCAACCTCGATATCAAACACAGGTGCTGGTGTCAGCAATTCGTCAGACAATTTCAGTCATCTTGCATCGGCCGGAGCCAATAACACTAGAGGGGAAGGTGCAAGCAGTAATGTACCCACGGGGAATCAAAACTACACCCAGAACAATAATGTGATGGGAATTGGTGATTCTGACGTCATGGATTGGTTTATGAATAACCAAACTATTGGATTGGATTTCGTTGCACCTTGGACGGAGATGATTGAGCAGCAGTTGAATTCCAACGACCAGAATTTCTATTTCTAAGGGAGAGAGAGACAGAGAAAGAGAGAGAGAGGGATGTGTTAAATGGTGAATAGAGTGCTTATACGTGTTTGTTAGATGAGAATAGTACGTTGCTGAATTGCACCATTTGAGGAACATTTCATGTACTATGGTCTACATACTTAACTCTGATGGTTCTATCTACTCTTTTGCAAAAGTTGAAACAAATTGGACTTTATTGTATACTGAGTTTGATAAATCAAGGAGGCGGTGCAATCGCGGAGAGAAAAAGCCTCTACAAGTGATTGTTTTCAAATGAAATTTTCGAATGAATTTTCGAGTCCCCATTCTCTAGTCTTTCTACTTTGTCTTTCACGTTGGGAACAAGAGATTTCTACTCTGTTAATTTATTGTACAGGTTGTGCAATCTTTTAGAATGTGTTGCAAAACGCGTGCAACATTTCGAAAAAAAAGCTGAAATCGTCTAAAGAATAAATCCTATTGTTTTGAAAGGTGTGTTCCTGGAAACAAAAGCACATTTATTTTATGCGTAACTCTTGAACTTATCTCCCTCGTCTTACACATACCCACGTGGCAGGTAGCTTAGTTTTGCACAAGTGAAGGGGAAACTAACTTGAAGCCCGAAGAGCCCTGTGTATAATAAGTATAGGCGGATTATAGCGTCAAAGCCCTTTCTCCGTCCTTGGAGCGTTTTATTCTGTTCCTGAAATTAACCAACGACATTTGCCGACTGATAGATAGAGCGATAATGTATATAGGACAGGTTTTGTTGTAGTTTTGCTTGTCTATTCGTACTTGTGGTAGTTTGTATAGCTTTTGCATTGCATGAAGTTGTTACAAAACTATTTTTAGATACACACGCCAAGAACGCAACAAAAAAATAAAATAAAATAAAAAAAAAAGGGGCATATAAAGATGGCTGGCTGTTGTTATGGAACAATCGTTCCAATCAGTTGCTGACTCCACCAGATGCATAATGACAGAATGTGAGGGGAAGTGCGGGGACTCATATGGAAAGATCGGGTTTGCTGTGTAAGTCTGAACTTGTAGTCAGCATTAATTGCTGGGAAAAGACTGGCGGCTTTTAACAGGCGACTTTCGCGACACAATTACTTCGGAAGAATTGGAAAGTCGTTGCGCAGCGGGGCATTCGCCTCATTTCTTCTTCCCACGATTGCAACCAAAATACTGGTGGTAGGGAGATACGTGCAATCCGTCCCACTCTTGTACTTTTGTACAACACACCCCGTCTCTCTGTTGTGTTGTGTAAATGATAGAAGGAATGGATGTTGTACGAATTTCAGTGGTATGTTTTTGGGAAATTTAATGTTTTCTGCATTGTGTCAAATTGGTAACCAGCTAAGTATGTTTTGACCCTGCCAAATTTTTAAAAAAATAAAATAAAATAAAAAACAGAATATGTGAAATACACGACTTTTTTATTAGGGTAGTTTTGTGGTTTGTGGTTTGTGGTTTGTTTATGTTTACGTTTATGATGCATAGTTTGTAGGTCAAACAATAATTGCCAAATACAGTAAATTAATCAATAGAAATAAACAGATTCCATTCAAAGTACGAGACTATGAGGAGAAATGTGTACACCGCAAACCGACTATAACTGTACCGCAACCATAAGCAGAGCCAACAGTGGATTTAACTGTAGGCCGCTTAGCCTCATAATAAGTCCTGAGAAGCATTCGTCTCAACTTGGGTATTGGCCTACGGGGTCTGGCGTAAATTTCATATGCACCAAGGCGAATCAAAAAGTCAGAAAAAAAAGTAAACAAACATATCCGCACAATTAATCTCGAGAGGTTTAGATACTGGGTACTTATTAGCATCGAGTCGAAACGAGACAACACTTGTGGTTGAGCTGAAGCTGTTTGTGTTGAGGCAGGAACTTAGTACTCATAGCGACAGCAACGAAACTCTTTTGCAAAATGTATGTGTGTGTGTGTTGCTTGTGCTTGTGCTTGTAATATGTTTATTGTATTTTTGTGTACAAAGTTAAGCCCGGGGAGTTTTACATCGAGGCTATGCTGAATGCAAAAGAGGAGAGAGACTTACCGAAAATGTCGTCATTTTCTCTATGAACTTTCAAGAAATCCTATAGAGCAATACCGGCCAGTGAAAGAGTAATCACACTCAATCATGACAGTGTGTGCTTCTTTTGAACGCGGTCTACACTCAAGTCCTTCTCTGAAAATTATTCCGAGGTCTGATGTCCTTTGAAGAAAAATGTCTCAAGCTCGGTTGATTTTGTGGCAAGCTCCTTTCGAATTGGACGCACACTTTTTACATCCAATCGGGACACAAAAATGACGACAGAAAAATAAAAAAATAAGCGCCAGATTCCGGTCTCCCACATTTTAATCCAACAAGCATCAAGGAAAGTTTTGAGTTGAAGAGACATAAATACAGTAGTCCAATCAGTCATTACCCCAATGATACATTGCAAGGTACTTTCAGTTGTTCCTGTATCTGCTTTTATGGAATTTTTCATCTCTCTGTGACACCTCTTTTCAACACCAGACGGATTCTAAAAAATGGTAAATAAACAAACAAACAATAAAAGCATACACAAAAACAACCAACAGAAAACACACACACATACAGTACGTACAAAGAGGAAGTGGCAAAGCGGATAAAAGTAAGCGCGCATAGAGAGCAATACAGACTTTACGACATTCTGCCTTTCTATCTCTATAAAATTTTTCTTTTTCTGTTTTCAAGTCAACGAAATTCAACTTTTTATTTTTTAAAATTTTTTTTTTTTTTTGATTCCTTTTCAACAACCCTCTTTTTCTTCTTCCTTTTTTCCAACAAATCAAAACTCCTTTTTCTTCAGTCCGTTCGCTTTCATTTTTCTTTTTTTAACCTTTTCTTCAATTCAACCAACACCTGTTTCAAATCGAAGATCATGCAATTGAAAAACTTGTTAGCTGTCTCAGCTATCGCAGGATTTGCTTCCGCTGCCAACAGTATGTATTGAATTCACAGATTTCACGATGATGATGATGTTGTTGTTGTTGTCGTCTTGGTTGTCCTCGACCATTTAATTTTCTTGTTCTCGGATAATCTCAATTCAAGCTTTTGGTTTTTTTTGGTGATTTATTTTCTTGTCCAAAGGGGGGTCGGTCCCCATATTATTGATCACTAACGATCTCGCTGTTGGATGGATATGACTCGAGAAATGAAATAGGTGTACCTTGCATCAAGTTGCATAGTTGATATGCCAACAACATGGCAGCATCGTCTGCGGAATATTTATACTAACAACGCCTTCGTCTAGACTCCACTTTAACTACAGCCACCCCATCGATAAACTCGGGTTGTTCTTTCTCAGACTTCACCGCTACTGCTTCATCACAAGTTTCTCAAGTTGCTGCTTGTGAAACTGCTGCTGGTACTGTTGTCATCAATGGTGATGCTTTTGGTTCAGTCGAATTGACTGGTTTGCAACAATTCTACGGAGACTTGGCCATCAGAAACGTCACCAAAGCTCAAACTATTAACGCACCAACCTTGCAATTGGTTTCAGGTGATTTGGAAGTTAACGCTTGTACCGTTTTGTCTAACTTGAACTTGGCCCAATTGACCACCGTTGGTACCTTGGAATTGAACGCTTTGCCAGCTTTGGAATCAACTGGGTTGTCTGCTGGTTTGACTTCTGCTGAATCCATCATTGTTTCCGATACCGGTTTGAACCACTTGACAGGTATCAATGTCTACCAATTGAAGGTCTTCAACGTTAACAATAACGGCGATATCGACTCAATTGACTCTGGTTTGCAAGAAGTTACTGACACTATTGACATTTCCTACAATGCCGAAAAGGTCGACGTCAACTTGGATCAATTGACCTCAGCAAAGAACATTGTCTTGCAACAAGTCAACTCTTTCAATGCCCCAAACTTGACTGTCGCTAACGGTTCAATCTCTGTCACTTCGTCTTCTCTCGAAAAGCTTGAATTGGCTCAATTGAAATCAGTTGGTAACGCTATTGCTCTTAACAAGAATGACGAATTGGAAGAATTGGACTTCCCTAAGTTGACTACTATTGGTGGTGCTTTGCAAATCTCAGACAACGACAACTTGAAGTCATTGGAAGCTTTCAAGAATGTCACTTCTATTGGAGGTACCGTCAACATCAACGGTTCTTTCGACAATGGTACTTTTGACTCCTTGACCAAGGTTGCTGGTGGTTTCATCTTGAAGATTGACGGTGACTTGTCATGTTCCGCTTTCAACAAATTGAACTCAAACGGTGATGTTAAAGGTGACAAATTCCAATGTCAAGATCAACAAACTACTTCCTCATCGTCATCAGCCAAGAAGAACTCACAATCTTCTGATTCTTCAGACTCAAGTGAAACTGGATCAGGTTCTGGATCTTCCTCTTCAGATTCATCTTCAACTTCGTCAGGCTCATCAAGCAAATCTAACGACGCTTCATCATCAAGAGTTGGATTGTTTGCCACCGTTGTTTCCGCTTTTGTTGCCATTGGTGCTGCATTGTTTTAGGAGAGAGAAAAGAGTTTTCACTTTGAATAGAAGTAGCCGTTTTTTTTGGTGATATTTTTAATGCTTGTTTTTTAATACATATATATTTTACTCAGTCTTAAGAGCTGAATTTAGCCGTAGCCCTTAATAAAAGAGATTGCAAATTCTCACAATAAAGCTTTCATCCAGTGCTTCTCTATAGAATCTGTTTATCTATTTGCTCCATTTCGAGTGCCGTAGCCACCTCGTCAGCAAATAAATCAGATACTTTGTCAATGGAGGGAAGTGTGTCAACCTGGCCTCTCTTCTCCAACTCTCGACTCAATGATGTTGCTTGCTTCAGTCTCAACCCACACATTTCAAACGTGTTCAAGAACTTTAGATCCGGATCGATATTAAGCGCAACACCAAATTCAGTAACACCGTGCCGTACTCTAACACCAACACTTGCAATTTTGGCCTCCTCTCCCTCTTCACCATCAGATATCCAAACTCCTGGATTATCATCCAGTATAGTACCTCGAACACCAAATTTTTCAAGGACATTGACTACCGATTGGAGCAATACTCTATTTACAAAACATTTGGGAGAAAGTTTGACAAACGACTTCAAGTTGAGCACCACGTATGCCACAAGTTGTCCCTCCCCGTGCCAAGTCACTTGACCACCGCGTTCCAACTGGTAAAACTTGCACCCAAAACGAACAAAATTTTCAATGTCTTGTTGACTAACTTGTTTCTTCAGTTTCAAGCCTGATGCGTACACATTCTCAAATTGGAAAGTAAGCACAGTTGGCGGTGGTTGAAGTAGTTGATACCGTTTTAAAAGATCCTGTGTGGGTGAATGAATTGAGCCCTGCTTCTCGATACCTCGTATACTTGTTTCCAACCTCTTGTGGGCTAGATTTTGCTCCATAAATGCTGACTGGATATCGAGGCCATGCTGGAAAGTTGATATACCAGGGAAGTGAATATGCTGGAGGGTACGATTTGTCTTGTTGATTGTGTGATAGTACCTACACATTGAATCCTAAATTGGTAATCCATACATTCAATTGTGTTTACCTTTTTTGAGAATTTTCTCTTGATTCTCTACACAGCGGGTCCACCATCTAAAGTAGAGAAGCCTCTCAATGGACCGGTATCAAGACAAGCCAAAGCCCAAATCGCGACCGGTTTCGGCAATTATATCAACCACGACAACAAATGTCACTTCCCATGACCATGCGTCGCTCTCCCTGCCCTCATCTGCAACGCAACTAACACAATTAACTTCACAACAAACCTCACAAGCACAACCGACTTCAAACCCCACCCATCTTCTACGCAGCTCTAAAACAAAGGCAGAACTGCTGAAACATTTACAGCCACCACCTCAGATCTCATTAGAGAAGGCATTGAGAAAACCACCTGTGCAAATCACAAAGAAGGATATTCTCAGAAATGATCTGCGTGCTGCTGCTGCTGCTGCTACTACTACTACTGCTGCTACCGTTAGTGCTGATTCCTTGAAAATCAACCAGCCCAACCACGATCGGGCTGAATTACAATTTCTCATTTCAATCTATGCTCCCGGACTTCGCCCGTTGCGTGATACGAGCTTGGCTGAACGATTGAAAAGTCGGCTTCCAAATATGGTGGAAAACCAGGATATCAACTTGTCGCTACATTTGTTTCTATCGACAATCATGGTGAAATATGTAAATCTGTGGTATTTAACGAAATTGAACACCAAAAATCTCGATTTCCCAAAAGCCGTCTATGATGATATTTTGGTTCCTACGGTGAGAGATGCAGCAAAGAGGATTGAATGTACAAGTGGCTGCGATTTATTGTCCTTGATGGATGATTTGGCTCTGATATTGAATACACATTTGGAAGACTTTGTTGGGGATGAGAACGGGAAGTATCTGTACAAGGTACTTCATGACTATTACCATTTGGCTGAGACTGAAAATAGTTTATTCTATGACCCCTCCAAGGATCCAAAGGACATACTTGAAACTTGTCTTGCACAGAGACACGCCATATTTGAGAAGATAGGGATTGGAAAAGAGAACCAGATGTTGCTCTACTTCCGAGTCATGGTGAAGCTGATTCTTGAAAAAGTAATAGAGAATAGCACGAAAGATCCAATCTTCACCTCAAAGATAACCAGCGATTTGCTAATTTTGATACTTGGTGATTTAGTAATGAGCCAAATTTTCAAAAAGGTTTCGTCCCTGGAATTCATATTGAGTTCGATAAATAACGCAGTATTGGGATTGTTATCGGTGATGAAGGTGCGAGAGGAAACCAAGGTCCTGGCGGCTAGTTACCGGCAATCGACAATTTCCACCATCGCTGCATTTTTATACACCACGTATCTACAGATTGGATTATTTGTTCTGGCCGTTAGTTTGTCTTCTGGGTACGACGCACCCTTTGATGTGATAAACTCCTCAGTTCTTGTACTTGCGGGAACAATCTTATCCCTCAGACAAACACGACCATTGCTACATAACTTCGTGTCGTCACTAAAGTGTATGATTTTGAGCTTCCCAGGGTTGAAAAATCGCCTCAACAACGTGGCCCTGAATTACTTACTAGGCAATTTGAGGAGGAGTTTAACAACCGAAGCAATTTGCAAAATCACTAACCAATTGAGATTAGCTCTATTTTACCCAGAGAGCAAAGATGGACAGAAACACGAACTTACTGTTACACTTGACAATGTTATCGACAATACTATCGAGCTATTTATGCACATTCCCATGGGGAAGCAACTCGATCGATCTGTTGTACGCACTAAAATCAAGCGAGTCTTGACTGTGTTTGACCACGATGAGCAGCTAGATCCAGACAACAAACTCAACCAGCTTCTAGCTATTCGGTTATTGGACCGTGTAATATATGCCATATATAACGATATCTAAGAACACTCAAAATTTTTGCAGTAAAAGAAAATGCATTGCGTAGAGAATGAAAATTCTCCCGCGAATAAAATTGTAAAATCATACCACCCCAACTTCATACAAACTCCTCTACAAAGTCACCTCTGTCTGCTTCACGTCCCCGATGTTCACTGCTCATTTCACTAAAAGGCCTCACTCACTACTATCTGCAATTGCCCACTCACAAAAACGGACATTTGTCTTCACCACGCTAGCAACTACTCTCTTTGGATCTGTGCTTTGGTCTAAAAACAATGTTCTTGCTTCAAAGATGGAAAACAACGAATTGCATTACGACGACCCAAACAAGAAGTTCAATTTGGATAAGCAACCAACTTTCCAGCGTTCAGAGCCAGATTATCCTGGCCACGTACCCTTGTACAATTTTGAAAAGGCGTTGATGTTTCTTGGCTCGTCAATTGGATCCTTTTTCCATCCTGAAAGAAACGAGTTTATTGTTGCACTTGGGGAATCAACAGCCATCGAACCAGTATTGAAGAGCTTACAAAGGACGATGTTGAGTAATAAAACAGGAAGAGAAATTCTTCGTGAAAGACCTCGTATAACTTCGACTTCTTTGGATTTAGACTATTTGCGCTCCTTGCCTGATAACACAATCGGCAAGCAGTATATAATCTGGTTGGATCGAGAAGGGGTTAGTCCCGATACAAGAGTGCCTGTTAAATACATTGACAATGAAGAGCTTGCGTACATATTCCAACGTTATCGTGAATGCCATGATTTTTACCACGCAATCACTGGATTGCCCATTATTATCGAAGGTGAAATTTCGGTAAAAGTTCTCGAGTATCTCAATATCGGCATCCCAATGAGCGGCCTAGGCGCATTGTTTGCTCCATTGAGATTGAAGACAAGTCAACGTAAGCGATTGAGGGAAATTTATTACCCTTGGGCATTGCAAAATGGACTCTTTTCCAAACCTTTGATCAACGTGTACTGGGAGAAGATATTGGACAAGGATATTGGTGAATTTAGAAAGGAGATGGGTATCCAGCCACCTCCAGATTTGAGAAACATGAGAAAGGAGTATTTCGCAATGAAGAAGAAGGAGAAGGAGAAGGAGATGAAATTGGAGCTGCAAGGATCGAAGGTGTGAGAGTTTGTATAGAGGAACGCAAAATTCGTATGGCGACGTGTAATGCGTACAATGTCTTGCCTTGTAAGATACTCTTTGTAAGATACTCTTTTCCTTTCTCCAAATTGTCAAGGCTATGCGGTTGAAGTTGAGTCACGTTTGAAGCTGTAGAAATTTTTAAAGTTGCGACTTGTATCACAGAATTTCAGTTGGTGTGTACGCGGCAATAGCAAATATATAAATACCAAACATCGAAAGAGCTCAACTTTACATCTGGCTTCTAACAACTAACACCACATCTTATTCAATAACTGACTATGTCACAGCTTTTCTATAAATATTTTCTACAGAAAGTACGTGTATTGAAAGACAACATAAACTGATTTCCTTACTAACCAGACCCTATACAGACAAATCTTGACCATCTCGTGACCTTTGGAGAACAAGAGGATCCTTATTTCGAGGAGATACCCGAACAGGATCTCCACTTTTACCAAAGGAAAGGCGCTAAAAGAAGAAGAAAATTACCATCTTTTATTCCAGACCATGACTTAAAGATCTTGAACAAGATGAAGAAACGTGCCTACAGATTGGATTTGCAATTGAGTTTGTGTGGACTACGTGTCGGCTGGGCTGGTGTCATTGGGTTGATACCGGGTATTGGTGATGTAATTGCCTTGTTATTTGCCTTGCAATTAGTGAAACTCGCGCGACAGGTTGAAGGTGGGTTGCCAGCCAGTTTAGAAGCGCAAATGATGGCTAATGTGTCGTTTGATTTTGGTATTGGATTGATTCCGGTTGTTGGTGACTTCATCAATGTCATGTATAAATGCAACTCGAGAAACTTCGTGTTATTGGAAAAGCATCTAATCAAAAAGTACGGCAACAAAGCGGGGGTGAAGTCGGTGCCGGCGACGTCGACAATTGATCATAAGACTGCAAAGACGCAACATAAGGGCACTTATACTGCGGGTGGTGCTGTAAGTGACCCCGCAAACAAAGTATAGCAGAAGTAATACAAAAGTAATACACAAGTCATTACGGTTTTTCTGCAAATCTCTTCTCTATTGCATCAAGTCTTTGTTTGAAATCACGGACAAACATCTCGAGCTGGTCAATTTTCATAAACTCTTGCTCGAGTTCATTGCATGTTTTGAGCAACTTGTCAATATCCTCGTACTGTCTTGAGAGATTCAATTGTTTCTCAAAATAATCATCGTTGATGAGATTTTGTTTCCGTAGCACAGAATCGTAGGTTTGGTCCGTCAAGGTCTTTATATAATCTTTGATCTTGAACATTAAGTAGTCATAACTCAATGACAACTTGTGTAGTTCCAAGGGGTCGGTTTCTTGGGATGGCACCCGCGATAAAGATTCCGTGGTTGATGTGGTTGTCTTAGGGGCAGCTTGTTTATTATCAAAGGTGCTGGGATCTGGCACCTCTGCCGCCCCCGGATCGTTTCCATGTGGACTGCTGCTCTTCATTTGAAGTGTGCTTGTTGCACCGTTGGAAACGGTGTATAGTATCTCTCTCCTATTTAACGAAAGCACACACACACTGATGATCCGTTTTCTTGTCTAATTTTTTGTTGTTGCTTACACAAAAAATTGTCGAACATAATTTGTTCTTTGAAAGCAAAACTTTCAACTAGAGGGCAACGACTCATCTACGGCATCTAATTGAAATCGACAAAGACCTACGGTTGATTACAGCTTTACAATTGATCCTGAGCCAGACTAGATAGCCACTACATATTGAATCGCCTGAACTCTCGCCCTCCATAATGTCCTCATCTTATTCGCTTGATAAGATCAACCCAAAGTTATTACGTCGTATTTATCGAGCATGCAGATCATCCAATGATGAGCCCAACTTGGCCCTCAATTTAGAAATTTGCGATTACGTCAATGCAAAAAAGGGTTCAGCTCCTAGAGATGCTGCCATTGCTGTTGTTAAATTGATTAGTCAAAGGGATCCACACACTTCCGAATTGGCCTTGGCGTTATTGGACAATTTGGTCAAAAACTGTGGGTACCCCTTCCATTTGCAAATTTCGAGAAAAGAGTTTTTGAATGAATTGGTGAAAAGATTTCCTGAAAGACCTACTATGAGATATTCACGAGTGCAACGTTTGATTTTGGCTCAGATCGAGGAGTGGTACCAAACCATTTGTCGTACTTCAAAGTATAAGGATGACTTTACTTATATTAGAGACATGCACAGGTTGTTGTCTAACAAGGGGTATGTTTTTCCTGAGGTCAAAGTGGAAGATATGGCGGTGTTAAACCCAGGAGACAACTTGAAGTCTTTGGAGGACATTCAAAAGGAAGAGGCCGAAGTGCACTCGGCTAAATTGCAGGAATTGATTAGACGAGGAAGACCACAAGACTTACAAGAGGCCAACAAGTTGATGAAGATTATGGCTGGTTTCAAAGATGACAATGTCAAGGAGAATAAAAAGCAATTGAAGGATGATATAGTCAGATTAGGAAGAAAAGTTGAAATCTTGGGTGAAATGTTGAATTCGATCGAAACTTCAGGTGGTAAAATTGGAGATGACTCTGATGAAGCGTTACTTGAACTATATAGCTCAGTGAAGAGCTCGCAGCCTATCATAACCAAAATAATAGAACAAGAAGGCGAAGAGGCTGATGAAGGAGTCAATAATCTTTTGGCGTTGAATGATGATGTCAACAAGGTGATACAAAAGTACCAATTATTGAAGGGTGGTCAAGTAGAGGAAGCAAGGAAGCTCAACATATCAGGTGGAGCACGAGGTGGAGGAGCAGGAGCAGGAGCAGGAGCTGACTTGAATTTGATTGACTTTGACGATGAACCGGAAGACGTTACAGCTAGCAAGGAGCAAGGGTATAGCGACTTGTTGAGTGATTTGTCCAACTTGACATTTGGTGACAATACCGCCAGCTCCTCCACTACCAACGGCAACAGGGTAAATCCATTAAACTTGTATGGAGCTGGGGGGTCTATAGCTTTGGGCGGAAACTCAACACAATTGCACCAGCCTACACCAACGACTCAAAGTTCCTCTAATTTTGACTTATTAAGTGACTTAAATTCTCCATCACCACAATTGCAATCAAACACCGGAGTCAGTAAACAAGTCCAAGGGGGATTGGACCCGTTTGGATTTGATTTCCCAAGTACCACTCCCTCAAACTTGCAAAAGCAATCGGGCCAGCAAAATTTTATCAACACTATTAACGTTAACCAGGCTAGTAGCTCTTCAGCCAGTCTCAAAATCGCGGTTGGAGTGTTGCAAGCTACGTCATCGTTGTTTAAAGGTTCAGTTTTGATCTCAAATGTTCAAGCTCAAGCTATTTCACAGGTTAAATTTATGCTTGCAGTGCCAAAGTCTTGTAAACTTGACTTGAAACCTCAGTCAGCTGATTCTGTTCACGGATTCGCAAATGAAGGTATCACGCAAGAGTTTACAATTGAGAATCCTCAAGAAAAGCAATTGAAGATCAAATGGAAGGTTGAATTTAAAGTTGGAAGCGATCTTCAGGAAGATACTGGTGTGACAGTATTGAAATAGAGATGTATAGATGGACTTGAAGCAATGTAAAGAAAAACAAGAAAAAGTCAATAAATTAAAGGAATACCCACTAAATAATGAAAGAAAACCACAGAAAAAAAGAAACGCAACAATAGCACCGTACCCCAGCTATGCGACCACGTTTCAAGGCTTGACCAACGAATCATCAATTACAAAAACAAATCCATTCTCCACTTGTCTAACGGTTGTGACCGAGATCCAATTCTTTTGCTTTGGTACCCTAACTGAGAAGGATTGGCTAGGTGCATCTTGCTTGATCTCCAACAATTCACCATTATTCAACTTAGAAATAACAATCTTTTCATCACCATCTTCAATGTGTATTTTATCTTGGAAATCAGTGACCACGTGCCCATCCAAATAATTTTGTAAATTGCTTTGTAAAATCTTGTCTTGTTCCTGCTCGGTTGAACCATCTTCCAACAGTGTAGGGAACTCCCACGGTTTCAAGTTGGAAAGTTTGTTTTCGATTGCATCATCAGTCGGACAAACAATCAACATGTTTGAATCTAATGACTCGGTTCTCGAGTTGAGATCCACATTATCACGAATGTAGCCAGCAAAAATGGAAACCGACTTCAATTGTGGCAAAATCGATTGCAACAAGTTGTTGTAGCAGTCAGCGGAGTCAAATGTGAACACCAAGCTGGACGTATCTTCTGCTTCGTGAGGAATGTTTAAAATTTCCTGCCCGTCACGCTTCTTGTTGGATAAATCTGCATACTTGGCTATATCGAATACGTTCTTTGCCTCTCTTTTATCATGACTGTCCTCATGAATGAAGTCAGAGATCCTGAATGTGTTCTTTCTTTTGGCTACGGCGTCATCAGACTCTTCGTGTAAAAACTTGTTACCCAAATCAACTAAATTCGGAGTGTTTTTGGCGTCACGTTTCTCATTTGCTTCGTCATTGACACCGTTTTGCAAAGCCTGTAAATTGATCACGTTCTTTGGCTCTGCTTCTCTTTTCTCATTTTCCAGCAGATGTTTCAAGTATTCTAAATTTGGAACATTTTTGGCATCCCTTTTATCGTTTGCTGCTTGCCCCTCTTCATTGTGTTCATGAATGTTGTACACGTTTTTGGAGACAGCCATGGAGGACAAGCTTGCAATTAATAGTATAAGTGTGGCTTTCATCACTGTAATATAGTAGCAGATGAAACAGATGCAACAGATGTACTGATTAGGAATGTGGAACTACTGAGGTGATAGGATGAACTTGTTGATAAAGATAAACTTTTGAGTGACTTTTTTTTTTTTTTCGTTCTGAGTTACTCTAAGAGCATCTATGATAACAGTTGTTACATTTGTAATACAATCTAATATATGATAATTGATACCCATATACACTAGCAGTAAAGACCCCTTGAAGTCATTCAAAACAAATACGGTTTCATGACGCCCGCCTGAGATAGCAAACAAGACTGATCTTAATCGCAAGCTAATAGCTTTATAATGATATGATCTTGCTTCCACATCGCGCATCGGCTTCGCCCACAAACACTTCCTACAACTAAACTGCCGGTTATGACTGTATCAAATTAACGTTGAATTGCAATCTTGATCTCTTACTTTGTAAATCCTTCAATCTCTTCAACTTTTGTTTATCATAGCGTGGATCTTGTTGTAGTTCCTCCGTGTTTAACTCCCACTCATTGCGCCCACTGCGGTAACCGTTGAGTTTTTCTCTAGCTAGTTTAAGCTCTTGCGATAACTCCTTCAGTTTATATTCCAAACCATTAATTTCCTCTCTAAGCTTGACATATCTTCTATTCACTTGTGGAGTAAAAGTCTCTGAATAACTCTGCTTTGCGTCATCCAAGTCCAACTCAGACACCAAGCCGAATATTTTCTTTGTTGAAAGTATATGCTTCAATCGTGAACTGTCGCTTGTCGATTCTCTTAATCTTTGATTTGAGCTTCGTAGTAATTCAATGGACTCCTTAATTGAATTGTTGCAGTTTTGTAGGTTGTTGTACGGATGGTGAGAAGGAGGGTGTTGCGTCATGGTCAAAGAGAGCAAGTTTACGGTTGTAATTTATGCGTGGTGTGTGTTGTGTTAATGTTGTGTTAATGTTGTGCAAATGTTGTGAGTTTTGATTTTGCATTTTTTTTTTTACACGCGAAGTTTTCCAAACCTTCATTGAATCATACAGTGTGGGAAACAAAGATAGATAAAAGAGCTACTCCTGCAATACATTTGACCCGTACACTAATATATCATAGTCATTAACCAGTTTATCACCAACATCACAGTATAACACAGCATCAGACATCTTTTTATTGAACAAGGCTCAAAATTGTACATATATTGCCTTCTTTATTTCCATAGCACAATTTTGGGAGGAGAAAATATCAAGAAGGGATTCGAGTTTTGAACTTCTTGCACCAAATACCATTCACCAACGGAAAACTAATGCACTCTTACAATATACAGGGACTACAAAAGGGTAATAAACAATAAACAAGTGTTATTGTAAGGCGCCAGTCAAACGAAATTTCACCATTGCAACAACCATGACACAATCTTCGAAAGATTTAGACGAATCGCTCAACTTCAACCACCGATCTCCTACGTCTGGAGACAATTTATCCGAAACCAAGCCTATTGAACATAATGCTGATGCCGTACTGCCATTCCCCACATTGGAGCATCGAAAAGGGGGTGTCATTCACGTAAAACCTCCTCAAGCAAGAGACGGGAGTAGCAATATCAACACATCTTCTTCACAAAGCACGAAGCCAATACCAGCTTCAAGAAAGCGATCTGATTCAAAATCACAGGTAGTCAACTATCCAATGAAGTCCACAACACAACGAGATAACTTGGACGTAAATTCGTATTCAAATTCTTCAACAAACACACATCCACGTAAAAGAGCACAAATGCAATATTATGTAACCCTCACGCCATTGAATGATACCTTTGTTGAAAAGCATCTACCCGTTGCCATATTTCCAGAAACGACAAAGCTCGGTCGACCCACGGGAACAAAGCATAAACCAGATGTAACCAATGGGTATTTTGATTCGCGAGTTTTATCACGGAATCATGCTCAAATTTATATAGACCCAACAACCGGGAGATTGATGCTACAAGATCTAGGGTCATCGAACGGCACATACCTTAACGATACTAGGCTTGGAAACGACCCAACCGAAGTCAAGATTGGGGATATGGTTTGTCTTGGTTTCAATGTTCAAGCTGAATCAACACATAAACAAATCAGTCTTCGAATCGACAATATCAATGTGATTGCTAATACCAAATCTGATTTCAAATTGGCAAACAGCCCGCAGCTAAATACCCCGGAATTTAAACACTTGTCATTTATGGAGGAAGTTTATCGTCAAATAAACGACGAGAAGACCAAAAAGAAACATCATACTACTGATGGTTTTGAAAGTGCCTTTTTCGGAGATGTAAATCCGGTTCTTGAAGATGACATTATTGGCTTGTATTCTTCAACGAATGCAGGAATATACAATAATTCACAAATTGAAAATACTGACACGCTTAAAACGATGGTAAGAACCTTGATGTCAAGCTTGACCAAAGTAAGACAGCAAGCCTCGGCTTTGAGCTCTTTGCGAGCATTTTTGATAAATTATCAACAGGAATTGGATCAACTCAATGAAAAATATCTTGAACAGCAATACAAGTTAAAAGTACAAGGAGTGAAGGAAGAATTGGATTTGGAAAAAGCAAAGAGTAAAAAATTAGAGGAGACAGTTGCCACATTGAAAGTAGAGCACGTTACAAAATTAGAGGGTATCGGGAAACAATTAAACGCTAAAGACTTGGAGGTGTTAAGTTTACAGAAAAAGATACTGTCTTTGGAAGCGAAAATTGACTCGTTGGAATCAGAATCTTTATCAGCTAAAGAGGCCATTGCAAAACTCAAAGAAGAGCACAACAACAATTTGAAATTACTGCTTGATGCAAAACAAGCAAGCGAAAGCAAAGTGCTCAGAAACAAGTCTATTTCAACCGCCGAAGTTGAAACTCCTGAAGCTGGACACGACATAATTCCTGATGCCATTAATGGGTTCATTATGGATTTATCACGTACTCCTTCGGTGCGGGATAGCGCGAAATCACTCGACTCTCGAAATGGTACCACACAAGCGGAAGCTATAGACCTAACACCACCGCTGTCTGATCACGAGGAAGGAGACGGTGATGACAATGATTTACAAATAAGTCACAGTCGGCGGCCGTCAATTGAGCTATATACTGGGAACCTTTCGTCATCTTCGGTTATTGCAACAAACCTTCTTCCCAATGACGTCGAACCGTTTCCAAAAGTCGAAGATGTTCCATCTTCATCATCATCATCCAGTTCCATTCTGTTGGGCAAGAATAGTCGCTCATCTACACTTTATCATGATAAACTCTCGTTCATGAAACCAGATAGCAAAGCCACTATGAATTTAGCTATCGCTACATCTGTAGTACTCGTCAGTGTTTACATATATTATCTATTGAACTAAGTTCAGAAATATACAAAATTAGCATGTTTTTCTCTTTTTTTTTTTTTTGTTCCTGGGAATCTTTCCTCCCTTAAGCTTTCCACAATTTTGATACGATTGTGCTTACACCACCTTCCTTCTTCTCAATCTCATAAACACCATAGCCAGCAACACCTGTTCCAAAAGTCAAAAGATACATGGCATAGTTGTGGTAGGAGCCATATACTCTCTTTGGAATATAATCTATAATACATGATTGGAAACCAGCATAACAGTGGTACAACAACAATGCACTCAATGAAGAGTCAACAAAAGTGGAAGCTCCGGTAATCATTGGGGCCAAGACCAAAGGCACCAAACCAAGACTTACAAGTCTCTCAAGTGTCCAATGGTATGATCCTTCAAGTTTGTGTGGTTTTGGTCCTTCGTATGCGTCATTGACTGTACCAACAACAAAACCTGGTGGTTGCGGAATGGTCTTGATACCTCTGATCAAAGATGGTCTGATGAATCTGGGTGATAACCTGGCCGAATGGCCAACTCCAAGACGAGACAACATTGCTAACAAGTGGGGGAATAGATATAGGGTTGGGAAGATAACGTGTTGATGATAACTCCCTTTTACGTTTATATTTTTTTTTTCTTCTCTCTCTCTCTCTCTCTTTTTCTCCGGGGTATTAGTAGATCGCTTATGTACTGGAAAAATATGATTGGTTGGAACTTTTCTTAACAACTGGAGCTACCATTTTCTCTATACGAAAAATTGCAGCTTTGGTTGATAGAGATCCAAGTGATTGGTTAAATATGTCGCGATATGCTCTTGAGAGGGGTAAAGTTTCATAATGAAATACCTTTACTATCCTTCAAAATCAATGTTTTCTTCTCAGTTTGTACCAACTTGCTGCAAAAAATTTGATAAAAAATTTGCAAAGAAACTGCAATGAACTTTTCAACAACATTTCACGATGAGCTCCGATTACTAGACAATAAAATTCAAAGACAAATTCGTATTTTGCTTTATTACAATTTACTCACAACACGTTATCTACCATTGCTTCTACAGAGTTCATGTTTTGCAGTTGGTTTGGATACAATGGTAGCAAAAAAAAATAAAAAATTACTGTAATACTCCAGATATATGGAATTTCATAGAATGTGTGTGCATGGTGTCACTCTCTGACTCTGAAAAAAAAAAAAAAACAAATAATAATAAAATAAAAACGAACCAAACTCTAAAAGTGCAGATCCGTCAATACGCCACCAGAAACTCAACTTTACAATGGATTTTGAATTAGAACCCACATTAGGATCTTTAATAAAACAGGACACTTTGAAATGGATTTTTGTTGGTGGTAAAGGTGGTGTTGGAAAAACCACAACGTCGTCATCGATTGCCGTTCAATTGGCATTACAACATCCGGATTCCGAGTTTCTTTTGATTTCCACTGATCCAGCACATAACTTGTCCGATGCATTTTGTCAGAAATTTGGCAAAGAGGCAAGAAGAGTTGAAGGGTTGTCCAACTTGTCATGTATGGAGATAGACCCAGAGGCGGCAATGAGTGATTTACAACAACAAGCACAACAATACAACAACGACCCAAATGACCCATTGAAAAGCATAATGAATGACATGACGGGGTCGATACCTGGTATTGACGAAGCTTTGTCGTTTATGGAAGTGTTGAAACATATCAAGAATCAAAAAGTTAGTGAGAATGACAGCAAGGACAAGATTTCCTATAGAACCATCATTTTTGACACTGCACCAACGGGGCACACCTTGCGTTTCTTGCAGTTGCCTTCAACTTTGCAAAAGTTGTTGGGAAAGTTCCAACAATTGTCCGGGAAATTGGGTCCCATGATGAGTATGTTGGGTGGTGGAGCTGGTGGTCAGCAAGACATGTTTGAAAAACTCAATGAAGTTCAGAAAAATGTCACCGAAGTGAATGAGCAATTCACCAATCCGGACTTGACTACTTTTGTTTGTGTTTGCATCTCGGAGTTCTTGTCGTTGTATGAAACTGAGAGAATGATCCAGGAATTGATGTCATACAAAATGGATGTCAATTCAATTGTTGTCAACCAATTATTGTTTGCCGACGATGACGAGAATCCTTGTCAAAGGTGTGTGAGTAGATGGAAAATGCAAAAGAAGTATTTGGACCAAATGGCTGAGTTGTACGAGGACTATCATTTGGTGAAGATGCCACTACTTGGAACCGAGATTAGAGGTGTTGAAAACTTGAAGAAGTTCTCCAAGTTTCTCTTGACCCCATACGATCCAAAAAAGGATCGCTCACTCATAACAGAAATGAAGGAACAATGAATAGACGTAATAAAATTGTATAATGGAAATTCTATGTGACCCGATACTGCATATAAATCCTTAACTGTAAATTTGAGCTGACTCTTGAAACTGTTGAAAATTGGACCAACTTTGAATCACCAAATCGTACTTCGAGTGCGTCGCAGATCCACATTTGGATATAACCCATACATAGCAAGCCATCACACAATCAACCATGGCCAGAGGTAACCAAAGAGAACTTGCAAGACAGAAGAACTTGAAGAAACAGGAGGAAGCCAAAAAGAGTCAAAAGCAAGGTGACAAGAACAAGCGGATGGAGACGGACGCTGAACGAATGAGAGCCAAACAAGCTGCAGGTATGTTTTCTGAATATAGATAAAGCTAGGTGACACTACTAACACTTTTGTCTAGCTGATGCCAAGAGAGAGGCTGAACGGTTGGCAAAGTTGCAAAAGAAGTGAAATGGATCCTGCTGATGGTGCATGTAAATAGGGGGTTAAAATAGCTGCGCAAATGCCATAAATTGAATAGATCATTACACTCTTCCTATACACTCTTCTCTGTAGTTTCCCGTTTTTGATGTTTTTCAGCGCATGCGTGTTAAATTTATTCTACTCCATTTTTCTTCACCAGAGAACTATTTGTGCTTTTGCTTTTCCTTCTTTTTCAGACCGAATCACCAAAACTAACTCAATTGATCTTTAACCCGGAAATCATGTTGATCGAGGAGTCATTCAGCGACGTTATAACCAGCGATGGAACAACAATGAGAATTTTTGTTTTCCATCCAAAGATTCCAAACTACCCTAGAGTGAAATTCCCCGGAGTCGTCGTCTACAGTGAAATCTATCAAGTTACCCCGCCAGTGGCTAGATTTGCCAAGGATATTGCCGGACAAGGCTTCATTGTTGCTTGTCCATCAGTGTACCACAACTTTGAGGGCCCCGAGGCATTGGCTTACGATGACGAGGGTACCGATAGAGGTAACCGTTACAAGATCGAAAAGGAGTTGAGCTCGTACGACGAGGACGCCAAGCTCACAATTGACTACTTGTTGGGGTTGCCAACCTGTAATGGTAGCATTGGAGCTACAGGGATGTGTTTGGGGGGTCATTTGGCATTTAGAACTGCATTGGATCCCCGTGTCAAAGCTGCGGTATGCTTCTTTGCAACTGATATCCACATTCACGCTTTGGGAAAGGGCAAAAACGATGATTCTTTAAAGAGATGCGGCGAGATTCAAGGTGAGTTGGTGATGATTTTCGGGGACAAAGACAATCATGTTCCCTTGGAAGGAAGAGATTTGATCAGAAGTGAATTGAGACGCAATAAAGTCCAAATGACTTTTATCGAAATCAATGATGCACAACATGCTTTTGTTAGAGATGAGAATAGCAAAGGGAGATACGATCCAGCTGTTACCAAGTTGTGTTTTGATTGGATGTTGGAGTTGTTTAATCGTAAATTGAAATTGGATTATGGCGACCATGATGGTAAGGATAGGGTCATTGAAGACGTTTGTTAAGATGGAGTGACTGAGACCGTTGCTGATCCACTACTCTGCAAGGTGTTTATGGCATTGAATATATATATATATATGAACTATTTGAAAAACTTTGTAAACTCTTTTATGCTTCTTTATTAGTGATGAGAGATGAGAGATAAGTGAAGTTTAGCTGTAACTCCTTTTCTGCTGTTTATTATCCGTATCGTTCCTTGATAGAAGCATTGGACTTTGCACAGATTCATGCAATCAGTATGTGTTTTTTACAAGCTGATGGAATCTTAGCAATACACGACCAAATTCCTGTTATGGTGAAATTTTTTTTTTTTTTTTTTTTTCTCTTCATAGTTTTTTTTTTTTTCACCATTTTTGAAAAAAGGTGGCCCAGACATCAGTCATTACAACATCTCCGACATCCATAGTCTACAATGAGACCAATCAAGTTAATGGGACATGAGCGTTCTTTAACGCAAGTCAAGTACAACAGAGAGGGTGATCTACTCTTTTCCGTGGCAAAGGATAACGCAGCATCGATTTGGTACTCATCGAATGGAGAAAGATTAGGAACTTTGGAAGGACATAACGGTGTGATTTGGTCGATTGATGTTGATCCAGAAACTGAATTATGTGCAACAGGTGGTGGTGATTTGGCTATAAAATTGTGGAAAGTCGAGACTGGAGAATGTGTTTACACGTGGAACAGCCCTTCACCTGTAAGAAGAGTTACATTTTCACCAGATGGATCAAAATTGTTGGCAATTGCTGATCAGGTAATGGGTCATATTGGTACGATAACTGTGTATAACATAAACCGTGATCCAAATACCTTGACGCAGCAGAGCGAAGAGCCAACTTTGGTTATTGAAAGAGAGGAGAATGGCTCCAAGGCCACTGTCGCAGGGTGGTCAGGCGACGGCAAATACATAATAGCCGGGCATAATGATGGATATGTGTCCAAGTACGACGCCGAGAGTGGCGAGTTGGTCAAGAAAATCCAAGCACACGGTATACATAACGAGGAAAAGATAGTGAGTGTCACTGATATCCAATTTGCCCCAGAAGACAAGTCATATTTCATAACTTCTTCAAAGGACAAATGTGCTGTTTTGATTGACGTTGACACTTTTGAAATATTAAAGGTGTACAAAGCTGACGCTCCAATGAACACAGCAGCTATCACGCCGTTGAAAGATTTTGTAATTTTGGGAGGTGGTCAAGAAGCAAGAAACGTCACCACTACAGCCGAGTCACAGGGTAAGTTTGAAGCTAGGTTTTATCATAAAATTTTCGAGGAAGAGATTGGACGTGTCAAGGGTCACTTCGGTCCATTAAACACAGTTGCGGTACATCCGGACGGCACAGGTTACAGCAGTGGAGGAGAAGATGGTTTCATCAGAGTTCATGCGTTTGACAAATCATATATCGATTTCCTTTTTGATGCAGAGAGAACTGAAAAAGCAGCAGCAGCAGGAAATATCTAGAATATGTATTATACATAGAATGGACAGAATCAGAAAACGGCAAAAAAAATGGAGAGATGTAATAGACGCTAATAGGGTACATTGCCACTGCGTAATACTGTAGTTCAGTGTGTGTATGAGCCTCGACATGAGCAAACCAGGTTCCAATGTATACGGTATAAATGAGATGCATATGTGAGACAATTGAGAAATTTCATTACGTTGATGATTAAGCATTGGTACTTTTGTGCAATGTTCTTTTCCAAATCAGACATCTTTTTTTTTTTTTTTTTTTTTTCTTTTTGCCATAATTTTCAGACATCCACATTCTTTTCACAACCTTTTTCCTTCCATTACTAAGAAGTAGCAAATTAACATTTCCCAAATAACACTTGAAAGACATATAGCCCAATGATGAGCGGTACAACAGAGAACCACATTAGAACTGAGTCAGAGTCAGATTTGAGCGATATAGGAGGCGGTTTTGTGGTTGGTGATACGAACACTAAGAGACGAAGAGCAAGTGGAAGACGGACACCAAAAAGACGGACAAGTAGGAACATTAAATACACCGAATTACCATCGGATGAAGATAGTGAGGCTGAAGTGGACTCAGACACGTATGCCAATGTGGAGGTGCCTCAGAGAACACGTGCTACGCGTGCCACACCCAAACCCAAACCCACGCGTCGCAATGGGAACCAGAAGAAGAGGGTGACTCCACAACGCAGCGACTCCTCATCTGACGATGACGAGGAGTTTACTTTAAGCTTGGATGGGGAAAATGATGTGTCTTCGTCTGACGATGACGATGTGACTTTTTTGGGGTCTTCAAATAGGAATGCCAACGAAACCAACGAAAGAATTACGATTGATATCTCGTCTGATGACGAACCTTTGGCTTTGCTACCTGCTAGGGACCCACCGCCAGCTCCAGCCAAGCAAGTGAAGAGAAAGAGGACGCCCGCAAAGACAAGGAAGGCGGCAAAACCCAAGATATCGCATTATGAACGTTCAACAAATAACCTTTATACGAACCACCCCGAGCTACAAACAGTGTTTACAGATTTGGCAAATTATGAACCCATCAAGCCAGAACGTGCTGAGCATCCCGCAGGGATGACCATCAAATTGTTGCCCTTTCAGTTGGAAGGGTTAAATTGGCTCCTAAAGCAAGAGGAAGGTAGATTCCAAGGAGGAATTTTGGCTGATGAAATGGGTATGGGTAAGACAATACAGACAATAGGGTTGTTTATGCACGACACCACCAAAAAGCCGAACTTGGTTGTTGGCCCTACGGTTGCATTAATGCAATGGAAAAATGAAATTGAGAGACATACAGATGGGAAATTGAAGGTGTTGTTATTTCACGGCGGAAGTCGTGTTAACAAAGTTAGTGAGTTGGAAGGCTATGACGTGATTTTAACATCATACTCGGTTTTGGAGTCGTCTTTTAGGAAGCAGCAATATGGATTCAGAAGGAAAGGGAGTCTAGTCAAGGAGAAATCGGCTCTACATGAGACAGAGTTTTATAGAGTTGTCCTAGACGAGGCGCACAATATCAAAGATAGGACATCAAATACTTCGAGAGCTGCAAACTACCTCAAGACAAAGAAGAGATGGTGTTTAACTGGTACGCCCTTGCAAAACAGAATTGGAGAAATTTATTCCTTGATCAGGTACATGAAACTAGATCCTTTTTACAAGTACTTTTGTACCAAATGTGAATGCTCCAGCAACGATTGGAAATTCTCAAACGGAAGAACGTGTGATTTTTGCGGACACCCAGGAATGATGCACACAAATTTTTTCAACCATTTCATGTTGAAGAATATTTTAAAGTTTGGATTGGAAGGTGACGGGATGGATAGTTTCAAAAACTTGCAATTGCTATTAGGCAACATGATGTTGAGAAGAACCAAAATCGAAAGAGCAGATGACTTGGGGTTGCCTCCAAGAATCGTTGAGATTAGACGTGATAGGTTCAACGAGGAAGAGAGAGACCTTTACACGTCACTTTATAGTGACTCCAAGAGAAAGTTTAACGATTACGTTGCCGAAGGTGTGGTTTTGAACAACTATGCCAATATTTTCACGTTGATTACCAGGATGAGGCAGTTGGCTGATCATCCCGATTTGGTCTTGAAGAGATATGGAACCAATCAAATCGCTGATCATATGGATGGAGTAATCATGTGTCAACTATGCGATGATGAAGCAGAGGAGCCAATCGAGTCCAAATGTCACCATAGGTTTTGCCGCATGTGTATCCAGGAGTATATTGAATCGTTTGATGGCGTGAATAGCAAACTCACATGCCCCGTGTGCCATATTGGATTATCCATTGATTTAGAGCAACCTGCTCTTGAAGTGGATGAAGAGTTGTTTACGAAAGCTTCAATTGTGAACCGAATCAAGCAAGGTTCACATGGAGGTGAGTGGAGATCTTCAACAAAAATCGAGGCGCTTGTGGAGGAGTTGTATAAGCTCAGATCGGATAAGCATACCATCAAATCCATTGTGTTTTCTCAATTTACATCAATGTTGGATTTGATTGAGTGGCGATTGAAGAGGGCAGGATTTCAGACTGCAAAATTGTCTGGATCTATGTCACCACAGCAGCGTGACAATACAATCAAGTACTTCATGGACAACATTGAAGTTGAAGTGTTTTTGGTTTCATTAAAGGCCGGTGGTGTTGCCTTGAACTTGTGTGAAGCCTCGCAAGTGTTTTTGATGGATCCGTGGTGGAACCCTAGTGTTGAATGGCAATCCATGGACCGTGTGCATAGAATTGGTCAAAAGAGGCCCATTAGGATTACTAGGTTTTGTATTGAAGACAGTATTGAGCTGAAAATCATCGAGTTGCAAGAGAAGAAGGCGAATATGATCAATGCGACGATCAACCATGATGAGGCTGCTGTTAGCAGGTTGACACCAGATGATTTACAGTTTTTGTTCATGAACTAAGCAGGAGGAGGAGGAGGAGGAGGAGGAGGACGACGAGTTGTTTGTAGTTTGTATAGTTTTTTTTTTCAATTCAATTTGCATCAAGCGGAGCGTTGTACGCTACCTGAAATATTATTGTTGTTGAGTCATAATAAGTTGAAGAAGGCATTTTTCACAACTACTCTTTATATGCAGTACCGTTTTGCAATCTTTTTTTTAATTAATTTTTTTCTTCAATTTTTATATTTATATTAACCGCTCTGGAGGGGGTTTAGGAAACGATTCATTCAAAGTAAAGTATTTCTTCACAACACACACACACACACACATTCCTTGAACATGCCTGACTTTTGGGTTGAATACCTCGATAACCCGACGTTATCAGTACTCCCCCACGACTACTTAAAGCCAGCAAATAACAAGTCAGTTGAAGGTAGGTTGGACTTTTCCTTTGCGGATAAGGTGCCTGATTTCACCACCGGTTTGGCTGTGTTTGCTGCATTGGTTTACAGATTGACTGGTGACGAAGATATTGTGATTGCAACGGATGCGTCATCAGAGTCTGCCGAGTTCATCATTAGGTTAAACTTGACTCCAGAGTTGAAGTTTAGTGAATTAAAAGCCAAGGTGCAGAAAGAATTCGAGAATAATGTCAAGCAGATCAATTATCAGACGTTGACTGAAGTTTCGGAAAAGATCAAAATTGCAAAGAAGTTGGAAGAGAACCCTGGTCTTTTTAAAGTTTCCTACCAACACTCAAATAAGAACCAGCAATTGAATACCACAGTAGAAGGGTCTGTTAGAGACTTGGCTATCTATACAAATGGAACAGAATACACCATTTTTTACAATGCATTGTTGTACTCTCACGATAGGATCATGATTCTCAGTGAACAATTAACTCATTTCGTGGCCGAGGTTTTACAGAATGACAGTGTACCAATCACTAAAGTGAACTTGGTGACCCCAGCACAAAAAGCAAGCTTACCTGATCCCACTATAGATTTAGACTGGTCGGGTTACCGTGGTGCCATCCAAGATATCTTCCAAGCAAATGCGGAGAAACACCCCGATAGAACGTGTGTTGTTGAAACGGCGTCATTTTTGGACCCCACGTCAAAAACTAGACAATTCACATACAAGCAAATCAACCAAGCGTCAAATATAGTTGGCAACTATTTGAAAAATACAGGCATTAAAAAGGGAGATATTGTTATGATTTACGCCTACCGTGGGGTCGACTTGATGGTTGCGGTTATGGGTGTTTTGAAAGCAGGTGCAACTTTCTCTGTCATTGACCCTGCTTATCCACCAGCAAGACAAAACATTTACCTCTCGGTTGCTAAACCAAGAGGATTAATTGGATTGGAAAAGGCAGGCACTTTGGACAAATTAGTCACTGATTATATCAATGACGAGTTGGATGTTGTTACTTCAATCCCTCAATTGAGAATCAATGATGATGGATCATTGGTTGGTGGTAAATTGGATGGAAAAGATGTTCTTGAGGAGTATGCCAAGTTCAAGGATGAACCAACTGGAGTCATTGTAGGACCGGACTCCAACCCCACGTTGTCTTTCACTTCTGGATCTGAAGGTATTCCAAAAGGTGTTCTTGGACGTCATTACTCCTTGGCGTACTACTTCCCCTGGATGGCTAAAAGATTCGGGTTGTCCGAAAATGACAAATTCACAATGTTATCTGGTATTGCTCACGATCCAATCCAGAGAGATATGTTTACTCCTTTATTCCTCGGAGCACAGTTGCTTGTTCCAACTGCTGATGATATCGGTACACCAGGAAAATTGGCAGAGTGGATGGCAGAGTATGGAGCTACAGTAACACATTTGACACCTGCAATGGGTCAATTATTGAGTGCTGAAGCAACCACGGCAATTCCTTCCTTACACCACGCGTTCTTTGTTGGTGACATTTTGACCAAGAGAGATTGTTTGAGGTTACAAACGTTGGCGGAGAATGTCTACATTGTCAATATGTATGGTACCACCGAGACCCAAAGGTCTGTTTCCTATTTCGAGATTGAGAGTAGAAAAGCTAATCCAAATTACTTGAAGAACTTGAAAGACGTTATGCCCGCCGGAACTGGTATGCATAATGTACAGCTCTTGGTGGTGAACAGAAATGATAGATCGCAAACTTGTGGGGTTGGAGAAGTTGGTGAGATTTATGTGCGTGCTGCTGGGTTAGCCGAGGGTTATCGCGGATTGCCAGACTTGAATGCAGCAAAGTTTATTACTAACTGGTATGTTGATCCAAACAAATGGATTGAGGAAGATAAAGCCAATAGTGCTAATGAGACTTGGAGAAGTGCTGGTTGGCTCGGCCCAAGAGATAGAATGTACAGATCGGGTGATTTGGGGAGGTATTTACCAGATGGTAACGTTGAGTGTTGCGGAAGAGCTGATGACCAAGTCAAGATTAGAGGATTCAGGATAGAGTTGGGTGAAATCGATACACATTTGTCACAACACCCATTGGTTAGAGAGAATGTCACTTTGGTTAGAAGGGATAAGAACGAGGAGCCCACACTTATCTCATACATTGTTCCCAAAGACTCTCCAGACTTGTTGAGTTTCAAGTCTGAGTTTGATGAAGATGCCGAGGAAGCACAAGATCCAATAGTTAAAGGATTAGTCGCTTACAGAGAGTTGATTAGGGACATAAAAGCCTACTTGAAGAAGAAATTGGCCTCGTATGCAATTCCAACCATAATTGTCCCCCTTTCCAAGCTTCCTTTGAATCCAAATGGTAAGGTTGACAAACCCAAATTGCCATTTCCAGACACTGCCCAACTTGTTGCTGTTTCACGATTGAGCCAATCAGCCAAGGACATTGAAGCTAGTGAACAGGAAGAGTTGTCAGATTTGGAACAACAAATCAAAGACCTTTGGTTTGAGGTTTTACCTAATAGACCATCAAGCATTAGCAAATCCGACTCGTTCTTTGACTTGGGAGGGCATTCAATTTTGGGAACAAGAATGATTTTCGAATTGAGAAAGAAGTTGAATGTTGAGATTCCACTTGGCGTTATATTTAAGAACCCCACTGTTGAGCAATTTGCTAAAGAAGTTGAAAAAGTACTCAAGGGAGATAAAGACTTTGAGTTTGCTGGATCAAGTGGAGCTGAGGGTGATGCGGATAATGCTGACGGAGAGAAGGAAGTTGCTATCGATTATGCCCAAGATGCCAAAAACTTATCATCTGTTGCATTACATGCAAACTACGAGTCATTGCAGGCTTTACCTAAAAAAACGGTGAATGTTTTCCTCACTGGTGCCACCGGGTTCTTGGGATCGTTCATCATTCGTGATTTGTTAGAAGCCAGAAAAGGTAAGCTTGATATCAAAGTCTATGCCCATGTTAGAGCTTCCACTAAAGAGGCAGGATTAGAGAGAATTCGCCAGACTGGTGTCACGTACGGCATCTGGCAAGATTACTGGAAACAACACATCGAAGTTGTACTTGGCGATCTTTCCAAAGAGCATTTCGGAATGCCTGAAGTAGAATGGAAACAATTGACCAACACTATTGATGTGATTATTCATAATGGTGCATTTGTTCATTGGGTATACCCCTATTCACAGTTACGTGATGCAAATGTCATTGGTACCATTAATGTGCTCAATATGGCAGGCGAGGGTAAACCCAAGAATTTTGCTTTTGTCTCGTCTACATCAACTCTTGATACCGACTACTTTGTGAATTTATCCGATGAGTTGTTGAAACAAGGCAAAGAAGGTATTCCGGAATCTGATGATTTGAGCGGTTCAGAAAAGGGTTTGGGCAACGGGTATGGCCAATCCAAGTGGGCAGCTGAGTACATTGTGCGTCGTGCTGGAGAGCGGGGATTACGTGGATGCATCATTCGTCCCGGTTATGTAACTGGATTTTCCAAAACTGGAGCTTCAAACACTGATGACTTTTTGTTGAGAATGTTGAAGGGGGCTACCGAGTTGGGATACTATCCTGATATCACCAACAATGTCAATATGGTGCCAGTAGACCATGTCGCTAGAGTCGTAACGGCCACTGCATTGAGTCCACCCAGTGATGTTGCATTAGCGGTTGCTCAGGTTACGGGTCACCCAAGAATCCAATTTAACGAATTTTTGGGATGTTTGAAATCGTATGGATATGATATCAGTCCAGTAGATTACCCTGTTTGGACAAATAAATTGGAGACCTTTGTAGTTGATGGACTGAAGGAGAGTGCGTTGTTCCCATTGTTGCACTTTGTTTTGGATAATTTACCGCAAGATACGAAAGCACCCGAATTGGATGATAGCAATGCTAGAACATCATTAAAGAAGGATGTAGAGTATACTGGTGTTGATGTGAGTGCTGGAAAGGGTGTTACTTTGGATCAAATGGATATTTATGTTAGTTATTTGATCAAGATTGGGTTTTTACCAAAACCTCAAGGCAAAGGTGAAAAGGAGTTGGTTGATGTTGACATCAGTGCTGAGACATTGAAATTGATTTCTGAAGGTGCAGGTGGAAGAGGATCGGCAGCGAAGTAGATGTATATATTTTTGATCAGAGTTGTGCATGTATACTAGGTAACTCCAAAAGGGGGAATGAACGCACGTTTAATAGTTTATTATTGCCAACATAACTCTTTTTTTTAACAAAAGCGCAATTGCAAGATTTTTAATTCTTTTTTTTTATTTTATTTTTTTTTTTTAGTCGATGACACAGAGAGGATCAGGCAGAGGTTTCTTATTGAGAAAGTGACAAATTATTTTTGACATATTTTGATACAAGACTATTGAATATAGACAGTTCCATTCCATAGACTAGAGTACCATTCAAGAGGAGTCAAATTACTATTAACTGCATAGAATTACCACACTTTGTCAAATGTGCCCAAGAAATACGTTGGAGGCGGAGTAAAACAGTCATAACAACGTGGATACAAACAATGCCTCGCAATAAACAGGGCTCTGTCACATTCGAGCAAGCGGACTCGAGGTCAAATCTACGACTGCAGCAACCAAACGGGGACAACTTTTCACATCTGCAAAGCAACACGAGTAATGTAGCGGGCATGGACCACGACGCAGACAAATCTAATCATTCAACAAACGGGACACAACCAGGACAAGAGAATGGACGACGAATAACAAAAAAGTTTATCGATATCAACTCCACTGATGGCTCTACTCCAATTATTGATACTGGCAGCGTTAAGTCATACTTTCCGGACAATTCTTGGCAAGAACCTCAATCACCACTGGAAAAACATTCGAGACAACGTCTTTCATCAGCACCAAAGAAGACACCGCCGGTGTTTCCCATGAGCAACAAAAATCGGTCAGATAGCAGTATAAAGACACCACGATATAACCAGCATAAACGTAGTTCAACAGCTTCTTCGACTTCGTCCATCACAACCCCACCATTAGTATCCAGATCTAGCGACAATTTGCGCATTTTACTAGATAAAGACAGGAAAACACCGCCTGCCCTACTACGTGATGATGGCGGAGGAGGCTCAGGGTATTTTAATTTGGACAGGTCGAAGTGGAAAGGTAATGTGGCACTGTCAATAATCACTTCCGCAGGAGGAAAATCCGATCGACTTAAACCGTCAATTGTTGGTGATAGCCCCGGTTTACTAAGTAGCCCGTGGTTTAGAGATTTGAAGAGAGGTAATAGCAATGCCAATATTAGTGGCTCGAGTGCTAACATTGATACTTCCAGTGTCAACACCAGTACGCAAAGTTTGCATGCCCACAAGATGGAACAATCGAATAGGGAACAAAAGAACCGATTGGTTGATCAGTTTTTAAGTTCTTCTAAAAAGGTGCCTCCATCGCCTGGTAGTGAAATGATGGGTAGTCGATATTTCAATGAAGATTTGTTACCTTCGTCCATACTGAATAGCCATGTGAATTTGAGTGCATTGACACCATTGAAGCCCCTAAGGGGAAATGCACGAGGCGATTGGAGGAGAGCACCTGATGATTTGAGCCAGGAGAAAGAGGTCATGGAGCAAGTCAGCCGAGAGGAGCGTTTACAACGATTGCTTGACCATGAAGTGAACATTGATGAAAAAGCAATGAGGTTGGAAAAACAGGAACGGAACTTGGAATCTGAAGAGAAGAAAATACAAGAAGAAGCTCCACAAGTGAGTTCTCAAATGCTGCCAAAGCAAGAGCCCCGGCAGCAACCAGAAGGGCAACCACCCCCACCACTATTACCTCCACAGAAGCAGTTTGAATCAGTATTGAATAATTTAAACGGTGCCAATGGGAGTGCCAACAATACCGCACTCTCGAATGTAAGTGAGGAGTTGGTTAACAATGTATTGAGCAATGGAGGGTTTCGATTTGAGTATGATACAAAACACGTTATTGAAGATGATAAGCTTGTCAACTACTTGATCAATATTGACAATGTTTTGGAAGAGTTGGAAAAACGGAAGCACCATATGAGCCATCGACGGAAACAGAGGAGCTCCTCCACTGATGATGAGGAGTACGGAGAATTGGTGAAAATTTTAACCACAATTTCCGAAAAGGTTGCAATCAAGACAAAGGCGATGATTTATGCCAAAGCCAACCCAGCAAAGGCAACCATATTGCAACTTGACCTAGTTTCGCGATATTTGACGACACTACACGACCTGATGAATCAGTTGCGGGAACAGTTGGTAATGCAATTGACCCAAACGCGTGATAAAAATAGTGAGGTGATTAGTGACAATTTAACAAAATTGAATAATATTGATTCAGACTTGAAGAAGCTTGAAGAGACAACCAACCGTTACAAGGATAAGATAATTCAACAAAAGCAGTTGATGAAGACCGAGATGAATGGTAAATTGACATTATTGGAGGAAATTAATAAACAGGTACATATACATAATCAAAATAAGCGACATACTCGCATGATTAGATTGAATGTGGTTTTTGCAGGATTGATCATTTTATTGGGAATCTATTTGGGGGTGAGGAGATAAAAGAGGGAAAACTAACATGCAACAATATCTCCAACATACATATGCACGTTGTGTATACATAGATTGTATAGAGATAGTGTGATTGCTTTAGTTTGTGGAATGTGTGGCTGGACATATGTACATATTGCAGATCTCATGGTAGCGTTGTCTCCCCCCCCTTGCCCCAAGGGCAGCGAGTGGGGATGCGAGTAAAGAGAAAACGAAAAAATAAAAAAAATTAAAAAAAGAAATTTTTTCCAAGTTTTAAATTTTTAATTTTCAGATTTCTTTTTTTTTTGGTTATAAAGAAAAAAAAAAAAAGAAGAGATCATCTTTCTCTTTAAACCTTGAATAACCCCCATAGCATAAGAAGGCGAAGAACAAGAAAAAGAACAACAAGAGGAAGCAAAGTCTTGTGATCTGATCAAAAACGCATCTCCAACAGGAAACATATACCTATAAAACAGAAACAATCCCATAACAACCAGTCACCAAAACACTCTCTTGAATTAGTATCTCGGGAATTTTCTTTTTTATTTGACTTTTTTTTTCTCGGGGGATTACTATACACACTGCAGCACTGCTCAATAACGCCGAAAACTTCATCTTGTCTCCAAGTGTTATAGTCCTACCATTGAAGTTGTGTTTTCCGGTTAAAACAGTTTTGCAAATATCTTGAAAATTTTGAACTCACAGACATAAAACTCACCACAAAGAACATGCTTGAGATACTATCGTTATACAAGGACATTCCCACGTTCAAGGTGAAGTCGAGACACAGGACACATGAACAGCAACAGAATAAGCACTTTTCAACGTTCAGATTGTTGATCGAGTACTTGTTCAAGAAAGGCAGTCAGGAAACGGATATAAATCATCCTATTCTCGTCATACTTCCCTCCGAGAAGGAGAGTACACAACAGCATAGTTCCAAGCACCACCACCACCATCATCATCATCATCATCATCATAATAATAATAATAATAACAATAATAACAATAATAAACCTCACCACCATCATCATCAGCTGACTTCTTATACACTGTTGGAGCAGCTTCTGTTCAAAGACAAGGTTATTTTACTAGACTACTTCTTTGGCCATTTGAACATCATCATCATCCTGCAAGACTATGGAGATTACCCCACTTTACAGCACCAGCTCAACTCCATCATAAACAAACTATATCATAGAATATCTCGCATTGGAATTTGGTCAGGCACAACAATGGTCCAAAATGCCTTTGACACTAAAAACAGAATACCGACAATGGCTGAGCTTTTGTACAAGAACATTACTAGATCACGCCATTCTACTCAGCATTTGCTTGAGTTGAAACGATTGGTGTTGTCGGAAATCGATTTCTTCAGTTTGTTGTCGAATACAAGTGATGAGCATTTGTCACATCTCTGTTCATGTGTGGGGAATTGGGCGTTTCCAGCTCATGAATTGTCCAGTGATGATTTGGTTTACAGTGCTTATTTAATGATTAACTATGCATTACAGCAAGTCAAGAAGCAACAGGAAAAGGATTCAAATTTTGCACTGGGAGTTCACTTCCCCGATAGGAATGAGTTGTTGGCCATTATTTTCATTGTTAGAGATACTTATAGATCAGGAAACCCCTTCCATAATTTCCGTCATGCAGTTGATGTGTTGCAAGCTTGTTTCCATTTCCTTGTTAGATTGGGATGTTTGCCTCAATTTAGGCAATTTATAGTCGACCCATACCAGGAGGATAATTTGTCCTTGACAAGGAATGAAGAGTGTGTGGAGTTGGTTGCCACTGACCGGGTATTTAGTCTGGTTGATTTGGCTCTGCTTTTGTCCGAAGCAGTGGGTGGCAGTAATAAAGGTTCAACTCCATCATTGAGTAAGCTGGAGTCGTCAGATTCGGAAGTCTCCGCTGCATCCACAGTGAAACAGCCGTCAGCACCAAGTTTGAACTTGATACAGACTTTGGGATTACTAGTTGCTGCATTAGGTCACGATGTTGGCCATCCAGGAACGACAAATGCTTTCATGATCAAAAATAGGACTCCCACATCTTTAGTCTACAATGACCGTTCGGTTTTGGAATCTTATCATGCGTCGCTATTTATTAACAAGGTGCTCAACGTATGTTGGCCAAGTTTGTTACAAATCAAAATTGACAAGGATTCATTGTTGAATTTACATGATTTAATTGTATCCTCGATTTTGGCTACTGATATGGGAGAGCATTTCGAGTACATGTCTAAATTGAGAAACTTTAGCGCCTCCACCAAGGCATCTACAAGCACTGGTGGTTATAGCAGTACGGAAACCACAGAGCAACATGAACCAATGAGCAACGACAGTAAAATTAAGTTGATATCCGCATTGCTTATTAAATGTGCCGATATATCCAACGTCACTCGACCTTTGCGTGTTTCCTCGCAATGGGCCGTTGTTTTGCAACGTGAATTTGATGAAGTCAATCAACTCGATCAATTGTTGGGTAAACAGCAACAGCGACAACTCGAGTCACAGCAACAACAACCGAACAATGTTGATGATGATGTTGACACAGATGTGAGCACTGCATCGTCAATATCCTCCTCAATCGACTCACTTACCGATGACGCACAAGGAGCAGAATGGGTGTTTGAATTAGAGGATGAAATTGAGTACGATAATTTGCCATTTGAATTGAATGAGATATTACATAACAAACCAAATATTCCACTGGGGCAGTTGTTTTTCATTGGCACATTTGCCGAAAACTTGTTTAACAATATTAGTCAAGTTTATCCTAGTTTGAGCTATACTTGTCAGATCATTAATGATAACAAGCAATATTGGATAGAGAGAAAGAGCAGGCAAAGTTGATCAGGAACATGACAGGTATATGTCTCTTGTGTTTGATCATTTATGGGAGTATTGGGTTTTGAGAGTTTTTCTTTTTTATTTTTTATTGTTTTTTTTTTTTTTTTTTGAGAGGAGGTTGGGGTTAGATTGTTTTTTTATTGGGGCTACGGAGGCGTATTTTATAGAGTGAATGAAGATTGTATAATTTTACAGAATTTTTTACCATGGGAACTTCAACTGGCATGTAGACTAAGTCATTAGACTTCTGCACTGACTGATTAGAGCCCAAGACAGACTGGGATTGGATAGTTGCCGATGCACATGGAAGCTCAAACTCCAAATTGTTTGCATTAAAGCAAAGAGATTACAAGAGTTTGCGATGTAGGTTTGAGCTTTACACAACTTTTTAAAACGTATATTTGAAACAAGTTAAGCGAGTATTTCGCATGTCAAATTCACAAATCTATCCCCAGAACACTTGAAAAGTCAAAACCACCACGTTTAGAGTCCACTAAAATGAAACGCTCATAAAAGAGTTTCCAAGTCATCCTTGTAAGGATTTACTTGAATTGGCACTGGCAAAAATTGCACAAATTACTATGGCTAACTGCCCCCCCCCCCACTCCCTCCGCGACGTTCTTTTCCCATTTATTTCTCTCACAGACAAGAGTCGGTTGTGAAGAACGTCTTGGGGACAGAAAACACCCACGTACGATGTTGAAATGTTTGAAGAAAAGATCCTCCGTGAATTTTCAACATGTGCTAGGGATATCTCTCTCAATTGAGGGGACGTGCTTGAATTCCAATTTCATTAACGATTTCCCTTGAACACTAGTCACGCTCAAACGTCGACAGAATTCAAATTTTCGCAATAGCGCCCTCTAATAGCAGTATGGAAGAACGTTGAATACTGGACATGTAGAGTGCGTTTTATATTCATTCTCCTTGATGTACTGGAGCGCAGCAAAAGAAAATAGGAATACCAAACACATCTTATTTTCAAAATTTGAATACAAAACAGTACTGAATGAATCAAGTTTAGAGCAAGAGGTTAAAAGAAGAACCGGTTGGGGCCGCACTAGAGATAGAACCAAAGGGAGGTGCAGTAGAGTAGTGAAACTGGCTGAAATATCCCCAAAGGGACATATGAGTTTACTTAGTAAGCTAACAGAGGTAGGTTTCCTAAACTAGCAATAACTCCCTCAGGCGGACTCCACACTAGAGCGATGATGAAAGCGGGGAGTGACAAGGAGGGTCAATTTTTCAATTTCAAAGAAATCGAGGAGTGAAGATGTGGGTAATGAATGAAATTTACAACTGAAGATCACTTGAATAAAACGTACTAATAGAGAAAAAAAAGTCTTTTCATATTGGAAAGGACAGTTGATCAAATCTTCACCTGTTCAACAAAATTGCTGTTCAAATTAACTCCAAATGCACTGTTTGCAGAGTTGATATGAATTAAGTTTGTTGAGGGGTTTGCCGATCCGAACCATTTCAATCAATGCTCCCGACGTCTCATTAGTAATTGGATTAATAAGGAGAGCACAGTAACTCCAGTACTTACTTGTAACCAAAACTACATCTTTGGAAGTAGGAGCTCTTCAGTTTTGTGACTTGCAGATTTTTCTCCATTCCGTTGCCAAGTACAAATGATTTCTCCGAGACGACTAATCATTGAGCAATTCCTTGGCCATCTATCCAGCTGTAATGGTGCATGTATCCCACTCCGGAAATGTTACAAGGAGCATCAATACATTCCTTCTTTTTTTTTTTTTTTTTCGGTAATCACCACTCTATAACTTCATGTTTCGTTCACTTTCTGTTGTTTGTTGTGAGGCGTGTGTACGTTTACGGTGCACCATACGTGGTCGTTCGTGTTCCAAAACCATAAAGTCATTTACCCCACCAATAAACACAAAACGAAAAATTATTTTTTATACTTACAAAGTGCCGTACGGATAAATTATGCAGACACTAAATTCTTACAGCATTCTTCCGAAAAAAAAGAAACAAGAAAAAAAAAAAAGGACTAATGCAGCACAATAGTAAATAGTGTGGGGATGGGATTCACCAGTAGCAATACAAAGGCAAAACAATAGTGGTGTGAGATCTTCGGCTAGGGAGGTGTGTAATACAGTATATAAAGTTGGGTTGTGCTGAAGTATTTGTTGCTTCCCCAGGAGGGTGTGGAATATAGTTGGATGGCCCGTATTCGCTTGAGCACGATTTAAAGTTCTAGCTCTTACAATATCTCTTTACAACGAGGGCAGAAGAAGATGGAGTAAAAATAAAAGCCACTTCAACCCTATTGTATGCCGCAAGTGGCTAGATCTCGTGTGCTCTTGCCATTAATTGTCCTCTGTTGTCTTTGTAATATACCTTTGATCCCCAGAGTCAGAGTAAAATCACAAAGGGAAGAAGGGAAGGGGGGAGGGGGGAGGATGGGGATATTCCGTAAATCTAGACGAGTGAAAAATTTTTTTTGCTTTCAAGATTGTGTTCCAGCTCATTTGCCAAAAAAAAAAGGCTTCACAAACATGGGATGTACTGACGGAGGAAGTGAGAGATATTGCTACACATTGGAGGTGTTCAACTGTAACAGGGTATAAATGCAGCTAGCGGTGTAGGAAAGCAGGGTTTTTGTCTGTAGAGATATGGCTGTGTCGTAGTTTTACACATTTGATATCATTGAGAGAAGAGGACAATTGCTTGCACCCGCCAACGAATGGAATCTCCTCAAGATGTGTACACATAATAATCCGAATGTAGGGGGAGGGGAGCGGGGTGTGACAAAGCAAGGACCGAATTTATTCAAAGGAGAATCCGAAATAAAAATCTTCCCTGTGCAATATTTTGAATTGATCCGTTTTGTACGCTTAACAAACTTTAAAATAACTTTGTTGGGACTTTGCATACAAGAGCTAAATACAACACCGCCGAATTTGGAGAATAGGCAAAGTGCAGAAAAAAAACAAAAAAAAGAGGTGATTTATTCCTTATTTTTTTCTTTCTTCTACTACTTGCTGCTTGTGCATCGATGCACGATGAGCAGTATTTTCATTGAAAATGATGAATTTGCCACACTGCAAACGTTGCCAAGTAGTTTTGAATGAGTTTACTTGATGAGTACTGACGTTGTGGCGAGTCCGTCTAACTCATTTCATTTCTAACGTAGTAAGTCTTCCCCTCACACCCACCCTTAGTTTTCCTTTTTTTCTCGAGTTGCTAAGCCGGTTAATCCGACACAAACGTTTGTTGCCTGTTTTTTTTTTTTTTTCAATTTTGTATTTTCGTGTCGGTTATACAAATGAGGGAATTTATTTTTTCTCTTTACAGTTTTTTTGTGTTTACTCCATTGCTTTCATTTTCAGTCTGTTTCAGTCTGGGGATTATTGAAGCAGTATGTGTGCACACCGCAAATTGAGGCTGCATTCACATAAAATACGACCAACTACTACACATATTCATAGAGGGAGACTTAGAGTTAGTAAAAACAATACCATACTACTGAAGTGCGTAAATCAGATTACTTGCTTGAGGTACATACACATGTGTTTCGTGCAACCAATACAACTCAGTGACGATTGGAGCATAGGCAAAGGCTCAAAACAATCAAGCTATGTTGGGTCCATGAAAAGTGGTATGGTTTAAGGATTAATGGGTGATCACTGAGAAAATGGCGGTTACAAAATATATTTCGCCGAAGTTTAGTTAAACCGACTGTGTTGGTGCGTGCACTAGTTACAACAATTTTAAAACATTTGTTCTTGTTTAATTTTTTATGGCTTCAAATTTTCGTGGGGAGGCGAGTTTCAGTAAGAGGATCAATGACTCGAAAACAATTCACTTCAGAGTATCCAAAAAGCAGGTTCATGTATGAAAACCCTTTGCCCTAAATTCTCTCTCTCTCTCTCTCTGCCTCTGCCTCTGCTAGACTCTAGATAGTGCTTTTTAGGTGCAATCTTATGTTACCTGTCATTTACTCTTTGAACTAATTTCTTGGCTTGTACAGTACATTGGCAGGGGGTGGAATAATTAAGGATCATTCGGAAAAATTTTTATTGTTTTCTTGTTCTCATTCAGTAAAAAGTTTTCTTTTCTTTCCTTTTGTTTTTCTTTTTCTTTGGTGGAGGGGGGGGGGCCAGCAAACAAACCAGCAAATTTGTGTACCGCCGGTTAAAAAGTTTTTACGTGTTTGGCTCAACCCCACCAACTCGATTATGAACAATACGAAAAAAAAAATAAGACATGGGGATTTGTGTCTGCATGACAACTAGGCTTTTCTTTTTTTTTTGTTTTTTTTTTTTACATTTATTGCTGGCTTTTTCTTTCTCTCAGTCGTGTCTGTGTTAGTAAACTACATAATAATAATAATAAGATGATTTTTTCTTTTTTTTTTTTTTTGTCTTTCTCCAATTGTGGTGCATGATGCTGGATATGTGTCCGTGGAGATTTGTGTCACATTTGTGATCGGCATTTTATTATTTTCACTTTTTTTTTGTCTGGCTAAAAAAATTCTCTCTTGTTTTGTTACAATGGAGAATTTTAATCCGGTGGGGATAAATACGTGATGCTTTGTATTATGCGTACACAAAATAAACTTTCTTCATACAAAAAAAAAATTCAAGTTTTCAATCAATTACGGAGCCTTTCATGTAATGACTAGACTAAACTATGGGAAAAACAGAAATTAAGAGCCTCAACATTCAAAAGTATCTAATTAGCTTCAAAGTGTCAAGTGGCCAAAACAAAGTCTATAAATAGGTGACCAGAACCCCCCCCTCTCCAGTTTCAGGTTTTTCAAGTTTCAAACAATCACTGCTTTTTTTTTTTATTAATTACCATAAAAACTATAAACTACAATGTCTGCTAGAATAGAAAGGATGTTTTCACGTCCTGCTTTGAGAGTGAATGAAGCTTTGGATCACTTGCCAAAGATCTACAATGTTTATTTCATCGCCAGTATTTCCACCATTGCTGGTATGATGTTTGGTTTTGATATTTCATCAATGTCGGCATTCATTGGTACTCCATCGTATATGAACTTTTTCGACTCACCAGGCTCCACCATCCAAGGTTTCATCACTGCATCAATGGCCTTGGGTTCATTCTTTGGTTCCATCTTTTCCACCTTTGTTTCTGAACCATTTGGCAGAAGATTGTCGCTTTTGACCTGTGCATTCTTTTGGGTTGTTGGTGCTGCTATCCAATCGTCGTCGCAAAACAGGGCTCAGTTAATCATTGGCCGTATCATTTCCGGTTTGGGTGTTGGTTTCGGTTCTTCCGTTGCTCCAATCTATGGTTCTGAGTTGGCACCTAGAAAGATTAGAGGTTTGATTGGTGGTTTCTTCCAATTTGCCGTCACCTTGGGTATCTTGATTATGTTTTACATCTCGTACGGATTAGGTAAAATCAATGGTGTTGCCAGTTTCAGAATTGCTTGGGGTATTCAAATTATTCCTGGTTTGTTGTTGCTCATTGGATGTTTTATTATTCCCGAGTCACCACGTTGGTTAGCAAAGCAAGGTAAATGGGAACAAGCTGAATTTATTGTTTCCAAAATCCAAGCCCACGGAAACAGAGAAGACCCAGAGGTTTTGATTGAAATTTCGGAAATCAAGGATCAATTGTTGATTGAAGAGGCAGCCAAGAATGTTGGATATGCAACCTTGTTTAGAAAGAAGTACATTATGAGAACTTTTACTGCTGTTTTTGCTCAAATTTGGCAACAATTGACTGGTATGAATGTTATGATGTACTATATCGTTTACATCTTTGAAATGGCTGGTAAATCAGGTAACGCCAACTTGGTTGCTTCATCAATTCAATACGTCTTAAACACCGTTTGTACCGTTCCTGCATTGTTGCTTTTGGATAAAGTTGGTAGAAGACCATTGTTGATTGGAGGTGCCATCATGATGGCTGCTTGGCAATTTGGATTGGCCGGTATCTTGGGTGCATACTCTGTCCCATGGACAGATTCACCAAGTGAAAGTGTCACCATTCAAATTCCAAAATCACACTTGCCTGCTTCTAATGGTGCTATTGCTTGCTCATACTTGTTTGTTTGTTCATTTGCTTCTACTTGGGGTGTTGGTATCTGGGTCTACTGTTCGGAAATCTGGGGTGACAACAGAATTTCTCAAAGAGGTAATGCTGTCTCTACTGCTGCCAATTGGATAATGAATTTCGCCATTGCTATGTACACACCATCTGGTTTTAAGAATATTGATTGGAGGACTTATATTATTTACGGTGTGTTTTGTGTGGCCATGGCTACTCACGTATTTTTCGGATTCCCAGAAACAAGAGGTAAGAGATTGGAAGAAATTGGACAAATGTGGGATGAGAAAGTGCCAGCTTGGAGATCAGCTTCGTGGCAACCAACCGTTCCATTGGTATCTGATGCCGAATTAGCAAGAAAGTTGAGTGTTGAACACAACGAAGAGAAATTAATGGAAGAGGATTCCAATACTGACGAAGAAAGAAGAAGTTAGAGCTGGGCTGAAGTTGGATTTGCTCAGAATTTGTTTCACGAAATTTAAATTGATTTCAATTCTCGTTTAACTTTCTTTAAATAGTTAGTTTTCTCATTTAATGATAAACTTTTTATGGTTAATTTATAAAGCTGTAGACAAAAACAGCACAGTAGAAACTTGGCACTCACTGAGTTACGCAAATATTTGACGTCATAAAAGGGAAAAACCCCCTATTTTCAAATTGCTTGGCGCCGGGGCGCGCGCGCGCGATTGTGCCACGGAAAAACTATTTATGGCGCATTGCAAAACTCCTAATCCCAAGACATCCTTTACATTTAGATGGTTTTCAACCTTGTTGAGATAAGGAAGGTGCCCTATTCAAGAGAAAATGTCCGATCAGATTTGTGTCCAACAATAGCTATTATTTTTGTCTTCTGACACAATTAGTAAACATGTGATGGCACATGCACGATCCGAATGGAGAATGGTTGGTTTTGCATCTGACACCGGTGTGCATATTAAGCGCCACCCCATCCCCCCTTCCCCATTGTCTGTAGTTGAAGTGGAGATTGTGGTTTTTCTCTATTTTACAAGATGATTGTGAATGCCATCCCTATTGTTATTCAGACAATTACTCTGGTGGGGTGGAAAACAATACCAAACAATAGACAATGGGAAAAATTAAGCCACGCTAAAGATAATGCCCGAGTGCAACAATAAACAGAAGCTGGAATCCAGCCCACTTTGCAAAAAGCACTAATTTCTTTGATAATTCTCTTGTTGGGTGTATCACAGAAATGATGGACTATAAATACTCCTCAACATCCACCATGATTTCAGTAGTGTTCTAATCCTTCTTATTCTGGTTTACGCACCAAGTTACTCAATAATGTCAGCCAAAATAGAAACTATATTTTCAGGTCCCGCTTTGAGAGTGAATGAAGCTTTGGATCACTTGCCAAAGATCTACAATGTTTATTTCATCGCCAGTATTTCCACCATTGCTGGTATGATGTTTGGTTTTGATATTTCATCAATGTCGGCATTTATAGGAACAGATTCCTACTTGAATTATTTCCATTCACCTAGCTCCACCATACAGGGGTTCATTACATCATCTATGGCCTTGGGTTCATTCTTTGGTTCCATCTTCTCCACCTTTGTTTCTGAACCTTTTGGAAGAAGATTATCACTCTTGACCTGTTCATTCTTTTGGATTGTTGGTGCAGCCATTCAATCGTCGTCGCAAAATAGGGCTCAGTTAATCATAGGGAGAATTATTTCTGGCGTTGGAATCGGATTTGGATCCTCGGTTGCTCCAATCTATGGTTCTGAGTTGGCACCTAGAAAGATTAGAGGTTTGATTGGTGGTTTCTTCCAATTTGCTGTCACCTTGGGTATATTAATCATGTACTTTATTTCATACGGATTGGGCAAAATCAATGGTGTTGCCAGTTTCAGAATTGCTTGGGCTTTACAGATTGTTCCTGGTTTATGTTTGTTTTTGGGTTGCTTCATCATCCCCGAGTCACCACGTTGGTTGGCTAAACAAGGTAAATGGGAACAAGCTGAATTTATTGTTTCCAAAATCCAAGCCCACGGAAACAGAGAAGACCCAGAGGTTTTGATTGAAATTTCGGAAATCAAGGATCAATTGTTGATTGAAGAGGCAGCCAAGAATGTTGGATATGCAACCTTGTTTAGAAAGAAGTACATTATGAGAACTTTTACTGCTGTTTTTGCTCAAATTTGGCAACAATTGACTGGTATGAATGTTATGATGTATTACATTGTCTATATATTCCAAATGGCTGGTAAATCAGGCAACGCCAACTTGGTTGCTTCATCAATCCAGTACGTATTGAACGTGGTGTGTACTATTCCGGGGCTATTTGTGTTGGACAAGATCGGAAGAAGGCCATTGTTGATTGGCAGTGCATTAATGATGGCTGCTTGGCAATTTGGATTGGCCGGTATCTTGGCAACTTATGCTGTCCCATGGACCGATTCACCTAGCGACTCTGTCACTATCAAGATTCCAAAAACACATATACCCGCTTCTAATGGTGCTATTGCTTGCTCATACTTGTTTGTGTGTGCGTATGCATTTACGTGGGGTGTTGGTATCTGGGTCTACTGTTCGGAAATCTGGGGTGACAACAGAATTTCTCAAAGAGGTAATGCTGTCTCTACTGCTGCCAATTGGATAATGAATTTCGCCATTGCTATGTACACACCATCTGGTTTTAAGAATATTGATTGGAGGACTTATATTATTTACGGTGTGTTTTGTGTGGCCATGGCTACTCACGTATTTTTCGGATTCCCAGAAACAAGAGGTAAGAGATTGGAAGAAATTGGACAAATGTGGGATGAGAAAGTGCCAGCTTGGAGATCAGCTTCGTGGCAACCAACCGTTCCATTGGTATCTGATGCCGAATTAGCAAGAAAGTTGAGTGTTGAACACAACGAAGAGAAGATGTTTGAAGAGGATTCCAACACTGATGATGAAAGGAGATAGGGTGGCACTGGGTGTCAAATTGGTTGGCTTTAGTGTATAGTATCTTCGTATAGTTACATTGCACAAAAAATTGTACTCTATGAAAAAACATTGAACTCTCACGTTTATTGAGAGCTCTCATAACATGGAGCAACAGAATAGATTCTATGCATTTGTAGTTTCACAGATTTCCCCTCGAGGGAATGTTCCGAACATCGAAAATTAAATTCTCCGACAAACGTTTGAATCGGATTTTTAAAATCCTTCTGGTGAACAAACACTTCCGCGAATTTGGAAGTGAGGAGAATATAAACAATATGTGGGTACAATATGGCTAGAAGGACGGACCCGCTCTATATATATACCCCGCGTCCTGAGCTGTCTCCGAGTTGATAAAGCCTTTTTACAACAAGCAGCTACCCATTTGGTAGTCAACTAAATGATTACGCACCAAAGTTAAAGTAAACTAGGGCCCGCTTAAAATTATACTACAAGCTATATCCGACAAGAGTATAATGGAAACATCATTCAGTAGCGTATCAAAAATAGCTTGTTTCCTGTTATACTGGCATGTTTTCACTGTATACTCAAGCTGACTGAAATCGTTTCTTTTAGGTTAAACTCCCTCCTTCTCTGAATCCAAAAGACAAACGTACGTCCCCTAGACAGTTGCATTGATTCACTGAGCATGTACATTGAGGTTTCTCCGCAAAGCCATACCCTCCGTTTCCCTGTTTCTATTTTCTATTTTTAAACACAACAATGGATTACGGCGTTAACAAACTCCGAAAGCGTAGAGATCCTCTGTGGAGTTGCAATCCACAAAATGCTCCCTCCATTCCTGAGCTTAGACATAGAGTCAACATATTAGAAGCAATCATTTCCCTCTCGGAAATCGCACCATAAAAGGAGAGCAAATTTCCTTTCGAAATGGAACAACAATTTTGGGTTAATTTTTTTTTTCTTTTTTTCTTTTACTTCTTTTTGCAACCACAACTACCATGTTATCCTATTTTGAGCGTGTTGCTTCCGAATCAGCCTTGGCTATAAGTCAAGAGCTAGACAAATTCCCCAAAATCTACAATGTATACTTTATTGCAAGCATATCTACTGTGGCCGGATTGATGTTTGGGTTTGATATTTCTTCCATTTCTGCTTTTATTGGAACTGATCCATACAGACACTTTTTCAACAATCCCAGTTCCGCCATTCAAGGATTCATCACCGCGGCAATGGCTTTGGGCTCATTCTTTGGTTCGATTGCGTCAGCATTGGTTTCTGAATCTTTTGGCAGAAGATTGTCACTCTTGGTTTGCTCGTTTTGTTGGATCGTCGGTGCAGCTATTCAATCTTCCTCACAGAATAGGGCACAATTAATCATTGGCAGGATCATTGCTGGTTGGGGCGTTGGGTTTGGTTCTTCGGTAGCACCAGTTTATGGTGCTGAGATCTCGCCTAGAAACAGAAGAGGAAGTATTAATGGGTTCTTTCAATTGAGCTTGACTGTTGGTATAATGATTATGTTCTATATTAGCTTTGGATTGGGCAAGATCCATGGTGTTGCAAGTTTCAGGATTGCGTGGGGACTACAAATAGTTCCAGGTTTGATATTGGCTTTTGGTTGTTTTTTCATTCCGGAATCGCCTGGATGGTTGGCAAAGCAAGGCCAATGGGAGCATGCTGAAACAATCGTTGCCAAGATCCAGGCAAAGGGCAACTCAGAAGATGCAGAGGTGTTGATTGAGATTGCAGAGATCAAAGAGCAATTGATCATTGAAGAGTCAGCCAAGTCCGTCAGCTATGCTACATTATTTCAGAAAAAGTACTATTTGAGAACGATTACGGCGTTGTTTTCCCAAATTTGGCAACAATTAACTGGCATGAACGTGTTGATGTACTACATTGTTTACATATTCGAGATGGCCGGATACTCAGGGAACACTAACTTGATTGCCTCATCAATCCAATATGTTTTGAATGTTGTGTGCTCAATCCCAGCTTTGATATTATTCGACAAATGGGGACGTCGTCCAGTCTTGATTGTTGGTGGCATCTTGATGACGACGTTTCAATTCGGTTTGGCTGGAATATTAGGAGCATATTCACAGCCTTGGACTGAGTCAGGCAACGACACCGTCAATATAAGAATCCCCGATACACAGAAATCAGCATCAAGAGGAGCAATTGCCTGTTCGTATTTGTTTGTATGTTCCTACGCAATGACTTGGGGAGTTGGAATTTGGATTTATTGTTCCGAGCTTTGGGGAGATAACAGAATATCACAAAGAGGCAATTCCTTATCTACGGCGGCAAATTGGATCATCAACTTTGCAATCGGAATGTACACACCATCAGGGTTCAAAAACATTAGCTGGAGAACTTACATTATCTATGGTGTGTTTTGTGTTGCAATGTCCCTTCACGTTTACTTTGGTTTTCCAGAAACTAAAAACAAGAGATTGGAGGAGATTGGACAAATGTGGGAAGCAAAGATTCCAGCCTGGAAAACAGCAACTTGGGAGCCTACAATTCCAATTGCTCCCGATTCTGAGATGGCAAGAAAGTTGAGTTTTGAGTATGACGAGAATGTTGAAGAGCTGGTGGGAAAAGGGGAAGGGGAAGATAATTCGGTTTGAGAGAGTGGAGATTGTTTGGATTTATAACTATACACAGGTTGTATAGTAATATAGCTTAGTTAGCGTTACACTTGACAGACTGATTAAATAAAATCCTGTAACAGGGGCACGGGCTGATCATATCACCGCGTAAATAAGAATTAAAGACATTGTGGAAAAGGATTCTCATTTTGTTTTGCGGGGAACGCTTGCTTCTGATCTTTAGATATCATCAGTTTCAAAGGATCTAGACTTGACATGAGGGGGGAGGAAAGTTGTTGGGCCAATTTTATCCACCCAGGTCATCTCTCCTTGCCTCAAAAAAAAAAAGCAAATTTTGACTCAACAAATCTTTTGCTTGAATGGTATACATATACGATTGGCACACTAATTTGCAAGTGAATTTGCCAGAAACGAAAACAAAATACAACATGGTTGCAATTGGAAATGGTAATAATCCTCATAAACTAACCTGCAGGTTACTTTAGGATCAGAAGAGATTGAATTCAAGTAGAATATAATCCCTCAAAGCACAGCTACTAAGAATAGATTTTTCAATGCCAATTTTGATAAACAAAATGAAACAATATCAAACGTTTTGGAAAACAAAGGAAAATCTAAAATATTGAGGGGAGAGTTCTCAAACTACTAAGAATGCTGAGGAGAAGAAGAAAATAGTTGAACAAAGAATCTTGCTGGAGGGAAAATAACATTAGCTTTATTCACTTATCGGATTAGTCTATTCCAGAATAACTCCCTAAGGGTTGAAACAAACGTATTGGAGAACTTCAAAATTCTCGAGGGTTCCCCACTTGCGTTATAATTCCACACTATAGACTCCTCTCAAGGAGAAGTACATCAAATGGTTTACCAAACTACTGCATTCATAGTAAATGAACAACACGGATTCCTGGAGCTAGCTGTTTCAAAAAGAAAAAAAAAGAGTATGACGCAACAAGTAGAAAACAATTACACAAAACAAGTTATTTTAAACGAAGGAAAAACAGGCTGGGGTACAACAATAAAACAAATTTATCCACACACAAACTGCTTCCTCGATTTCTACCAACACAATCTAAGTTCTACTATAACCCCCAATGGACAGGGTTAAGGAGCTAACTGCATTAAACAGGCAGCAATTCAGACAACTATGACAGCATTGGGGGTCACTCAGGTGTAGGACGACTGCACTTCATGTACTAATGACTACGTTGCCCAGTTATATTTGAACTAGTGTTTACCAAAAAAAAAAACAAAAAACAAAGAGCAACGATGGTGCATCGTCATTCACGGAAAATCTTGGTCCTTATTTGATCAATTGAAAAAGCGTATTGGCCGCACATCTCTTGGCTCGTCATTAAAAAATTTCTTCCGGTGTATAATAGAGACAAAAATGTATTTCTCCACACCACAATTGAATTTTTTCCCCAGTTTCCTTTTCAAGCAAAATTATATTTAACATTTTGTGCATATATATTTAGTGACTTTCTCCTCTATTTAGGCTTTCCACAACCCATCCTTCTTTTGAACAAACAACCAAGAGAGCACCACTTTTGTGTTTAGAAAAAAATTGTTCCAGAATCAAATGCGTGAATTTATTTGGTGTAAAATCATGCCAAGAAAATTCTAAACACTCCCAAGAACAAGGTTTAGGTTATTTTTTGCTGGCTGATGAGTGTTACAAGAAAATCCGAGATCGAGAGGAATGGGTCTTCTTTCGACGAGGCTCATTGTGGTCGTGTAGTCCCACTTCGAGTCTCGTGTCGTCTCGTGTTGTGTCGTGTCTCCAGGTACCAGAAGACAACTTCAGTGAGTCGTTGTAACCGTCAACTCGAAAAAAAAAGTTTCGAAAACAGGTACTTTGAAAGAGAATGGATATAAAAACACATAAATGTTTATCGCCGGAAGTATTTGGCGTCTAAATTTTATATTTTTTTTTTTCTCCTTTTGCTTGAATTCGGAATAACCATAAAGGCGTCTAGTGGAGGTGTCTGGGGGTTTTCGTTTAAGCCAGAATTTCTTATACAAAAGTTGGCAACGAGTATGCGTCTTAAAATATGGTCTTTTGTGGTGGGAGAGAAAAGCCGCGTGATCTCTTTGTTTTCGCACTCACCATTTGACCAAGGGCGCGCTCTCTCCCTCTTGACAGTTTAATCTGTATAGAGCATCCACCACAGGCAGAGGTTGGCCATGTTCACACAACTTACACTCTTGCTCTCTCTGCATCACGTTATTATTTCAGTACGGCATTTTGACTTTTGAAGGTCATCCGATTTATCACATATTTTTAGGTTATTGTCTGGGCAAACAAGATTTTTTCTTTTGTTTACATGACTTAAGCCGTCATGCAGTTATGCCGTACACTTATTTTCCTTCACATCTTTTACATTTCGCATATGTTGCAATGTATCTATATATCATGTTTGTGTCGTGTTGAATTAAACTCTTGCATTATTGTTACTGAGCTTTTAGATCTCGGGACGTGGTGGGGTAAAACAATAGGATAAGACAATAAGGAATTGCTTTGGCTTTTTACGGAGTTTCTCTATTATTCATACAAGAAATTTACTAACGAGTTTTAGTATGTGGAGCAAGTACTCTAAGGAAATGTTATGGCGAGGAGGCTCAAAACAATAAAGGGGGCGTGGTGGTGAGTCCTCTTCCTTGACAAATTTTGCAATATAAATAGACATACAAATTTCCCAGAATTTATCTTCCCAGCGTTACTCTGTTTTCTCATTTATTTGCAACTTCAGCTACCACTATAGAAAATGTCCTCCAGAATCGAGCGCATCTTTTCAGGACCCGCCTTGTCCTTGGCTACCAAGTTGGACAAGCTTCCTAAGATCTACAATGTCTACTTTATTGCCAGTATTTCAACCATTGCTGGTTTAATGTTTGGTTTTGATATTTCATCAATGTCGGCATTCATTGGCACCGATCCATATAACAAGTACTTTGATACTCCCGGATCCACCATTCAAGGCTTTATTACCGCTTCAATGGCATTGGGCTCAATCTTTGGATCCATCGCATCGGCCTTTGTTTCTGAACCATTTGGCAGAAGATTGTCGCTTATTATTTGTTCGTTGTTGTGGATGATTGGTGCTGCTGTCCAGTCATCGTCTCAAAACAGGGCACAATTAATCATTGGCCGTATCATTTCCGGTTGGGGTGTTGGTTTCGGTTCTTCAGTTGCTCCTATATATGGTGCTGAGATCTCGCCACGTAAAAGAAGAGGAACTGTTAATGGATTCTTTCAATTTGCAGTCACCCTTGGTATTATGATTATGTTTTACATTTCGTATGGTGTTGGTCAGATCAATGGTGTTGCCAGTTTCAGAATCGGTTGGGCTATACAAATTATCCCTGGCTTGCTTTTATTTTTTGGTTGTCTAATCATTCCTGAATCTCCACGTTGGTTGGCAAAGCAAGGTAAGTGGGAACAGGCAGAGGAGATTGTTACCAGGATTCAAGCTCATGGAAACCACGAAGATCCTGAGGTGTTGATTGAAATCGCCGAGATCAAGGAACAATTATTAATCGAAGAAGAAGCCAAGGCTGTTGGTTACGCCACCTTGTTCAAAAAAAAGTATCTTCGCAGAACACTCACAGCAATCTGGGCTCAGATTTGGCAACAATTGACAGGTATGAATGTCATGATGTATTATGTTGTTTATATTTTCCAAATGGCAGGTTATTCAGGAAACACCAACTTGATTGCTTCCTCGATTCAATACGTGTTGAACGTGGTTTGCACAATTCCAGCGTTGATTTGTTTCGATTACTTTGGCAGGCGACCCGTATTGATTCTCGGTGCACTTTTCATGATGATTTTCCAATTCGGTCTTACTGGAATTTTGGGCCAGTATGCTGTTCCTTGGCCAGATTCGGGAACTGAGTCAGTGACTATTAGGATTCCAGACGACAATAAAGCAGCAGCCAGAGGCGCCATTGCTTGTTGTTACTTGTTTGTTTGCTCATTTGCTTCTACTTGGGGTGTTGGTATCTGGGTCTACTGTTCGGAAATCTGGGGTGACAACAGAATTTCTCAAAGAGGTAACTCTTTGTCAACATGTGCAAACTGGTGTTTCAACTTTGCTATAGCCATGTATACTCCATCTGGTTTCAAGAATATCAACTACAGAACATACATCATCTACGGTGTTTTCTGTCTTGCTATGGGTCTTCATGTGTTTTTCGGTTTCCCAGAGACCAAAGGTAAGAGATTGGAAGAAGTTGGACAGATGTGGGAAGAGAAGGTGCCAGCTTGGAGATCAGCTTCATGGACACCAACTATCCCTATTGATCCAGATTCGGAGTTGGCAAGAAAGTTGAGTGTTGAACACAAGGAGACTGGCTCTCAATCCGATGAAAAGATCCATGAAGCTGATACTCACTCTGCTTGAGTGGTCTGAATGCGACATTTGATTCAGTTCTTGATTAGTTATAATTGTGTAAGTTAGTAGTACGAATCGATACGAATTTACGTTACTTTGGGAAGAATAATCTTTTTATATGCTGAATACTTGGTTTGATGGTACCTCCGAAGTCCAACTAACCCCGAAACTTTTAGTCACACAAAAAGAAAAGACCAGAAAGTTGGCAATAAGATCATGCAGTGTCGTTCTTTGGTTGATGGATACTTGTTTCCAGGCTCTTGAGTCTTCTTCCTATTCGAGCAGTCTATTGTGACCCCACTCAAATCTCTCAATTGAAATGGACTTTTGTTTTTTCCTCATTGGATGTATGTTAGAATAGCTCGGCTAAATGTCAACGAGGACTACTACTGCGCCTAGACAACTAGTACTAACCCTAATCCAGTCAACGAATATAAAAGTGAGTTGTCAGACGTTGGTCACATCCCATGTTACTGTGGACGTTGTCATAACCAAAGTGCCTTTGCAGTGCGTTCCATAAACGCAGTCACGTTATTTTTCATTCCAGTACTCCCGTTCTCCTTCTCGAAACAGTTGGTGTGCAATATCTGCGGCAATTCGGGAGACTTGGATGACACAGCACTTAACCAATTGAGAAGTGGCCAGCCAGTGGCGATAGCAGGGTGACAACCGAGGATAGAGTCGTGGATTGATTGTTGGCAAAGAGATTAGATTAGAGGTATGTAGTACTTTATGTGAAGTTGATACATGATTCACCACTTTTGTTGTGGCCAAGTGAACGAATTGTTATGAGTAGCTCATGTACTCTTCAAAAAAAAAAACAAAAAAACAGGAATGTCTACAACTCATACTTCAAGAGCTCACTTTAACTTCTGGAATGACGTATCACCGAGTTTATTCTCTCTCTCTCTCTCTCTCTCTCTCTCT